ACTTGGGGCAGGGGGGCCTGGGGGTGGCAGCTTGGTGGGCGATGCCATTCTAAGAGGAGATGGGGGAGGAGGGAGGCTTGAATCCGAGGGCACGAGGGAGGCCAAATCTTCCGGTGGCGGTGGTAGAGTCATCCTGCTTCCTCTAGACGATCTGCTGCTCCTTTTGGTTACAAGCGCTCTGCTGGAGTGCCGAGAAGCCAGCCGTTTGACGGAGAGGGAAGGCACCACACCTGTAGACTGGGTCTGCTGAGGAAGAGGTGTGCCAGACGGGGCAATGGACACCTTCTTCTCGGAGGCTGTCCTCTCTGTACGGATGACAGAGCCGCTTCCCTTCAGCTCAGACAGTCTCCTACTGCTGGCCTGTTTCACACTGAGGAACAGGGCAGAATTGGGAGTTGCTATTGAGATACATGGCAAATATACAAGAAACATGCTGTCAAAAATCATCTATTTAATGTTGAGACACAATGACAAGGTACTTTGTTGTCAACCCGTTGTCCATTTAGTCCAAAATTCCTGAACTGTATATGGCAGAATGTGTGACTGTATATATACTGACCAAAACTCATAATGACATAAAAACTCTCCGATATGCGACAGTCTTACACTACAGCACAAACAGTATAAATGTCTAAACACCCAGTTTTACTGGGTAGCTCAAACAAGCATGGAAGCCATTTTTTTTCAACAAAGCCAAAAAAAAGCAGCTCGAAATGCCAACAATCATCAACAAGTACCAAGAAAATGACTGTATACACTTGTTTTGGATGTGCTCATCAATACTTTCTCAAAACCGGCTCTCAGCGCCTGTGAGAATTACTCACCTTTGCCGGCTACCCTCCTTGCTCTGTTTCCTCTTCAGACTTGTCCTGCTGCCGTACTGGGACAGGATGTCATTGACATTCGTGTCCTCCTTGGCAGGTTCAAGTTTGACGTTTACCTTCGGTTTTCTGAAAGGCATCATCAGCAGTGTCTTCAGGCTGTCACAGCATCGCAGGACCTTCTTCGTTGCTTTGTCATAAGCTGATTTGTAGATGAGCCTGAGCAGTCTGGAGAATGAAAGGAACAAGGGTGGCTTCAAGTAGGAACACAACATGAACGAGAACTGTAACATTTGCAAAGCAAATGCAGAATGTGTATCCTCACATGGCCTAGCCTAACTAACTACTGCTTTGTTTATTCTTACTCAATAACATTCATGGTGACTAGCCCCCCCAACTCTTGTCTGCAACTTGCTACAAAATATATTCCTACACAAAATGGTGTATAAAAATAAATGGCAGTAAACTTCAATATCAGAGTATTTGTTTTGTATTGCCATCCAGCATTGGAGGTCTTTAACTTTCTTTCTGAAGTATTTTCTACTCACATGCATGGCACACACACGGCGAGCACAAGTAAACCAGCAGTAGCACACACGATGATGGCAACAATCGTCATAAAGTCTTCATCTGTACAAGGGGAGGGAACAAGAATCTTTACATCCAGCTCTTACATAAAAACCATTGGAACAAATCTAAAGTGAATCACCAACTTACTGTCTCAAACATTACTGGAGATCCTAACAAAACAAGCAAGCAAACCCTATAGGCCTAGCCTCTACCAGGCTTCAGAGGCAGCTGACAAGAGTAGAAATTGGCCAAAGAAACAGATAACATGGCAGGGCCAGGGGAGTTTGTTTTCCAAAGGAGAGTGGCAAACTGTACTCCTTTAGCAAACCAAATCCCTTGACATGCTATTTGTCAAATTTGGCCAATTTCTACCCCAGTCACCTCTAAAGCCAGTCACCTCTAAAGCCTTACTTTAAATTTGAGATTGAATGTCTCACTCTAGCCATTCTTTAATCAACAACCTCTGCCTCACCGTAACACTCCAGTCCAGTTGCGGTCCCGTTCCTGTTCACCCTTATGTTTTTGAGACCAGGTGGACACCTGTTGCAGCTGTGTGCTCCGTGGGCCGGCTGGTATTCCCCTCGCGGACACGGGTGGCAGCGCCAGTCCCAGGCAGGGCTGTAGTGTTGGGGGGCACACGCTCCTAAAGTGAGGGATAGAATGATTGATAGATAGAGTGAGTGAGTGAGTGAGTGAGTGAGTGAGTGAGTGAGTGAGTGAGTGAGTGAGTTAATGGGTTAGTGAGTGATTGTGTGAGTGACTGTGTGAGTGAGTGAGTGAGTGAGTGAGTGAGTGAGTGAGTGAGTGAGTGAGAGAGTGAGTGAGTGAGTGAGTGAGTGAGAGTGAGTGAGTGAGTGAGTGAGATCCACAATTAGCATACATAGTTGCTATTCTTCCTGTGGTCTTACATTTATACAACACTACAGGACATACAGGAAAATAGCACAAAATACACACAATTAACAACTATAAAAAATAGTAGAAGAGATAACTTAACATGGGACCTCTGTTTAGTACGTACCACATAAACCCTTGACAGCCTTAGCACCGTAGTTGAGTCCGTACCCTGCCTTACAGTACAGCACTCGGGAGAACACGTTCTCACTGGGGTCAATGGAGGTCGTCATCTCACTGATCTCTGTACCCAAGGTCATGTCAAGGACATCCAGAATCTGTAAGCGGAGGTTGCACAGTCACTTATGAATGAGGCATTTTTGTACGTACTACACTAGTCATGTTGCAACTTATGATGGCTGTACGCAAGAAACCTGTTACTCAAGCATGCAATCTGGATAGATTTTGAGAAAACTTGTCGCTTGAGTAACAGTTTTTTTGTATATCTCATTACCTGGATATCTAGCTAACCTTCAAAAAGGATGGATGGAAAAATTAGCAAATGCTGACCTTTGTCAACAGGCAGGCATTTTCCTTGTTCTGGAGCAAATGGACAACAGTGCAGTCTTCTTCCCTGAAAACTAACAGCAAAAGGTAAGATTATTTAATATTGCAGCCCTTTGAAAGACAACTTGCTACAAGTTTATTTCATTTGTGTTACTTTCAAAAGAGGCAAAAATCCGTGAATGGTTTCCTCAGCTTGGTACAAATGTAAGTCATTGAATATGGAGTTTGCACAGCACAGGTGTCACTTTCCCAGTGACACCTGTGCTGTGCAATGTGAACCAATCAGCCTTTCGGTGAGGAAGGTGACAGACGGTCACCAAAACATCAGCTGAATAAACCTCCTGGCTGTGTAAAAAAAGACTCTCTATTCGAACAAACAAGCAAACAAACGATTTAAAGCCCTACGCCCGTATGTGATGCTGAGCAGATGTGAGGAGTATGTCAAATTGTAGAGATCCTCTGGGTTTTTGTTGTGGGGTTTTGATTACTTATCAAGAAACAAACAAGCAAACAAACAAACTCAAAAGCCCTACGTCCGTATGTAATCCTGAGCAGATGTGAGGAGTATCTCAGGTTGTAGAGGTCCTCTATGTCATGGTTGTGAGAACACGACATGGTGAAGTTGACCACGCTGCACTTGTGCTTCTCGCACATCTGGTTGAGAACGTCTGAGATTCGCTCCGACTCGCGGTGAAGGGACTGTGCACAGGACGTGGCCGTGTAGGAGAGTTTGACGGAATAGCCGTACTTCACGAGATGCCCAACTGGGAAACAGAATACATATGTCAGGGTAGGTCCCAATCGGATTCTCTGTCAAATGCTCAATAGAAACTAAGATCGGGATCTCTGTCTAAAGAATTGCCAATTCCACTGGCAGAGAGGATAGTGCTATATAACTTGACATTGCCCAATGTAACATACCCAGAATTTACTGTACTACTAGTATCATTTGAATACCCTGTCAGTCTCTGCTAACCATGAAACATAAATGATCTTTAAATGCTATATGTGTATGATACTGAACATTAATCTCAGAATTGCCGATTCTACTAGATCAGAGTCTGACCCTCACATGTTACCATCATGTAACGTTACACGTGCCCTTGATGATGATTGGTCAAAAGTTGGTGCATAATGTAGGACTATTGACCAATCATCACCAAAGACATGTACACATCAAGTCAAATATCAATCGTGGACAACATAAACTATTGAATACTGTCATCTTACCCTGGACTCTGTGCTTGAGGTCCATACGGTGTGTACGAGCGCCCCCTCCCTTGCCGTCCTTGAACTTCAGGTGGCAGTGGTAGGTGCCGGAATCGTTGGCCATGAGGTGGGATATGGTCAACTCGCCTGTGTCTGCTATCTCGTACCTGTAACATGCACATGCACCCTTCACAATGCTTTAATAGTAGACAGGTATCAGCCCTGTACTGTACACATCTAGAATCGTCTTGCTTGCAGTTGTAATTCAGCCCCATGGCTTCAGAAGCAGCTGGAATGAGTAGAAATCGAGCAAATAGACAGATAACATACCAGGGGAGTTGGTACGCTACTTCTGGCATGTTATCTGAATATTTCGCCACTTTCTACTCGCCTCAGCCGATTCTAAAGTCTGGTAGAGGTTAATTGTTAGTAGCGTTAACGGGGGGGGGGGTCTCTGTCCTTGGTACTGAAAACGCTAGCGGAAACTTCTGAAAACTACACGCATTTAGATCTAACAATCAGTACTTTATACGTACCATTGCGATCAGAGAGTTGAAAGATTTTTACATTGAATTGTTTTGCGTTTACTTATGCATATGAAACATTTGGTGCTTGGCAACGTGGCTATTTCAAAGCCAGACAAAGGCAAAATCGACTTCGTTTCGCGGATACGTCGCGATATGTCGCCATATTGCATCGCGCATGCATATGGAAGAGTGGGAAAGTCTTGGTGCAAATTTGCATAACTTGTTTGGGGTTATTGATAATAAAGATGTCGAAGAAGAACAACAACAAAAAATGTCGATTAAAATAATACGATTCGTGATACCTGTGTCCCGAGACCTCCCTGTGCTTTCCGTAAGTCCACCTGTAGTTCGGGTCTGGGACGTCAGGAGGCGCACCTTTCACGCCCTTCGGTACGCACGGGATCTCTCGTTTGGAGCCCGCAGAGCCCCATACTAAATATACGGGAGGAAAGAGGGTGCCCTTGTGTGATAGTTTTATTGTCACTCTTTGATAAGTTTCCAGTATATTTTGGAAAGCGTTCGAAGCTATTTCTAGTCAACATTCGACTGGCCGTTTTAGATACAACCGTCTAAACTACTCTTGAACTAGTGTGACTGAGAATAAGTTAGTGTAGTGTCTTCAGATCATCAATTATTCATGTTAGCATCTTCCTTCCTTCCCAAATTATATCTATTTTGTACGAGAGATGTGCTGTTCTTTATGAAAGTGGTTCAATATTAGACCGTTCCTGATCGAACACCTCAAGCTCCGCCCCCTTGTTCTACGTCTTCTATTTAGAACACATCCAGTTCGAAATAGAACAGCGGGTTCGACGTGTTCGATTAGAAACGTTTTATTACCGAAGATATCATCGGGCAACAAAAGAAACAACCGCAGACTCAAGAAATCACAGCAAAACAATGTGCAAGTAGCCTGGTGGTTTTAATTCCTTCAAAACGCATTTTTCTGTGACAGAAAAACAAAAGACGACAACGACGTGCTATCTTCTTCCAGTGACGCGTCCTAAACATAGTCGTTTACAGCCACAAGTGTGTGCCACAAGCTCATGCTTTGCTGTGAGATCTTGAACCACACATTTCTACTGGCCGGATCCATCCTTACCATCATGCAGGCCCTCCTTTGGCGTTGCCCCTGACAACACGTTAATCGCCTTCCCGGCTTGCTCTACTGTGATCCCGACCGAATCGTCGGAGTCGTCTACATGCTCATAGTCAGCGTAGTCGGCGTTGTAATATTCCTCGTGTGTCAGGTAGTCGTTCCAGCCGCCTTTTTGGCCTCCGCCTTCCGCTTTCACCTGGTGCTCAATTTGTGTCTCGGCGTCCTCATTGGCGTAGTCTCCATTTCCCGTTTCTTCAGCTACTTCTGCTGGGGGACTATTGTAGTCGTTGTCACTTTCTGGCTCTTCGGCTGGGGGGCTCTCTCCTTGCAAACGGTCCTTCAGGGCTTGTATGCGCTCTTTTATCTGGCTGATGGCTTTCTTTTTATCGCCAACGGGTTTGCCATTTTCTTTCTTAGGTTCAACGGTGCTCTCTCCTTGAGTACGGGTGTCTTCTCCCTCTTGTAAAGGTTTCTGGGAGCCGCTTTGCGAATGGAACGAATCGTGAATGACGTCACTGCTATCGGCAGGCTCGTTGTTGTTGTTTTCTTCATCGCTAACATCGTTTTCACTTGCATTAACATCGACATTTTCTTCACCCTCTTCTCTTTTCATCCGGGATTTCTTCGCCGGAATTTTCAGGGCCCTTTTCTTCAAGAGGGGCCTGACGGCATGGATCTCGTTCCCATGGTGGCCGGTACCGTAGCCCGTAGCGCCGTTCCCGTTCCCATGGGCGTCCAAGTTGCTGTAGTCCGCCCCGTCTCCGGGCAGAGGGGCGTGTCCTCCCGCGTCGTCATGGAGATGGTCGTTACCATGGTGACCGTTTCCATGGTGACCGTGGTCGCCATAGTCAGGTGACTCCTGGTACCCCGGAGTTTCTACATAAGAGAGAGACAATGTCAGGTATTAGATTGTTGAAAAATATAATAAAAAGATTTGTAATGGGGCTTCTTGCACTCGCTACCCCGAAAAAAAGCAGATGGCTTCCAGGCTACTAGCTACAGAAAGAATCATAACTCTTAGAATAGCAAAGTCATTTATTTAAAACTGCTTGTTGAATAAGAGGCGACGTTTCAATGACCGTCTGTCATCTTCTACAGGGCAAATTATGACTGGTTCACTGATGAAGATGACAGACGCCCATCTCCATCAGTGAATCAAACAGTCTTCAGTTAGTCTTCAAAAAGTCTTTGCGTATCCCAGAGCGTAGATTTGCCACAGATAGTTCTGGATACGCGTGAACTATCCAAAAACCGTGCCTGAGCATGGTTCTGGATGAATCACGTACAGACAACACCTACCTAAGCATCCTTGTCCTTTGTCCTTGTCGTACACACACGTACAGCTGAAGCCGCCCGGCATGTTAATGCATGTGGCGTGGTTGTGGCAGGGGTACTCTTGCTGCGCACACTCGTCTATGTCTGAGGCAAAGAGCGAATAGTTTATTCTTTCTGGTCTACACAGAGAGAGAGCGAGAACTGATCATGAATACTATCCACACACACACACACACACACACACACACACACACACACACACACACACACACACACACACACACACACACACACACACACACACACACACACGGACACACACACGGACACACACACGGACACACACACACTAGCATAACTGTCCTTGGTGCTGAACACTATCCACGCACATACCCATGGACACACACGCATACACACATAGAATTTTATTTGACGTCCTGTATAGACTATAATATGTTGTTCCCTACCTGCACAGTGCACACCGTCCTTGGTACTGAACGCTATCCACACACATACACATACACACACATTACCATACCTGTCCTTGGTGCTGAATACTATCCACGCACACACACACACACACACACACACACACACACACACACACACACACACACACACACACACACACACACTCACCTACACACACGTACACTAACATGCCTGTCCTTGGTGCTGAACACTATCAATACGCACACGTCCTGTATAGACTATGATATGTTGTTCCCTACCTGCACAGTGCACGCCGTCGCCGTCGTATCCGTCCTTGCACTGGCAGTGGTACGATCCGACCGTGTTGATGCAGTCAGCTTCGGGAGAGCAGATGTTATACCCTTTGCCTCCCCTGCTTAGAATGGCACATTCCTCCTGCGTCTTGCCCTCGCAGTTCACGTTGTTTAGGCATTCGTTAACATCTGAGAGAAAGACGAATAGATAGATAAATGAACTAGAAAGGTAATATTTGCCTTCACATATGGTCTGCTCTTTTAATTCTTACTCAGACACATTCACATACTAGTATATATGGTATCACATAAATGGAGTCTAAATCCCTCCTACTATAAAATTGCAACATGATGTATCCCAACACCAGTTACCATGGTGACAGACGTCTGGTTCAGGTCATATACCTTTTTGGTTGGAGAAGAAGAAGAGGAAGAAGAAACAGAGCTTCTGAAAAGGTAAACATAAATAGGAATATTCTCAACCTGCGCAAGTCGGCTCGGGCGCGCTCCATTTGCCGCTGGTGAGATGCCTGTCCTTGGTACTGAACATTATCTACGCACATACACACAGACACACGCATATACATGCACGCAAGTACACAAACACCCACATGATAAATGTATGAAAAAAAGAAATATCTCCAACCTTCACAAGTCGGCTCGGGCGCGCTCCATTTGCCGCTGGTGAGACACGTGATGGTGCCCTGACCGACCATGTTGAAGCCGGGCCTGCACCGGAAGCGGGCCATGCTGCCGTAGATGTTCTCTTCCGGCGGTAACATCTCACCGTCCACCGGCGCGCTTAGCGGGCGGCACAGGGTCGCTGGAGAATACCACAGTTGATACCATTAGAATCTCGACAAGACGCAAAATCTTATCACAGAATCTAGCACTTTGGAAGATGGATGAATTGAATTTCCTTATTTCAGAACACTTTGGAGACAGGAAGTTAAGAAGGGCTTACACCGGGGGGAAGAAAAACAGAGACTCGCATCAGAACTCAGACGCTCTAAGTGTAAAACAAAGAATAAGTACATGGTCTTACGAGACAATGGTTCAAACCTTGCAGTCTAGATCTGGTCTTGCCGACTTACGCAGCTTGTACTTACGGTGAGTTGCGCCTAAAGGCAGTTTACCGGTTATGCGAAACAAACAAACATCAAGCTCCTTGGTAACATGCTGTCACCTGTACAGACTGGAGGCGGTCCGCTCCATCTCCCGTCCTCCCCACAAGAGATGACCGGCAGACCGACCAGGTCGAAGCCCTGGTTACACTTGAAAGTGGCGACAGAGTGCACCCTGGCCGGGTGGACCACCTGGACGTCTCCATTCGCCAGGAGCCCGGGGGAGGGGCAGGTCACAACTAAACGATTTTTTTAAGAAAAAAAAGAAGTGTGCGTGTTGGGTACATGGTGAAGCAAATCTGAAACTGCTCTATTAATGTTGTATACGTAAAAACAAAAGGACAAATGACAGTTCTATCTGTAGAGTCCAAGTCATCCTTGAATAATTTCATCAGGTTATGGAATGATAAGCGCTCCTAGTACATGTAATATGATCTCTCAACTGCCTTGCAAAATAAGAGTTTGCCCGTGCTAGTAGCGTATTATTTATCTGAATAGAACTAAGTACTAGTACCTTGACACGTGGGCACCGTTGAACTCCATTGGCCATTCTGTTGGCACGTGACTTGGGTTGGACCAATCAGGTGAAAGCCGTCGTTGCACCTAAAGGCAGCCTGGACGCCTACATATGCCGTGTCGTGGGACAGGTAGACTAGGCCGTTCGGAATGGGGTTTATGGGGTTGCACAGGATAGCTGGGGACACATCGATAAAATCATCTCAATTATCATGAAAGTTCCTCTGTTTCACACTTCAAAGAAGCCACGTGACAAGCCTCACTGGGCCAGCAGTCTACTGAGGAAGACCAGAGTAACTGGTCGAAAGCTCTAGGTGAGAGGACTTTGTGTTGGATCGAAAGTTTTAACTTTAATATGTATCATAATTGTTATGTATCAGAGGTGCTCATTCTCCCAAATCACAGTGACGAAGAAAGTGACAGTTCTTAAATCTTACTTTCACATCTCGGAGGTGCAGCGCTCCACCTGCCGGTGGGTAGACACGTGATGATGTGTTGACCAACCAGGTGCAGGCCTGGGTGACAAGTGAAAGTGGCGTGGCTGTGCGCAGGCGCGGGCCGTGGGACGTCCACGTCACCATCTTTTATCCCATGTATGTCCTGGCAGACAATTTCTGAAAAATTGTGGAAAGATGATCTTCAACGAGAAATTAATATATTCCTCTCCTACGCACACTATTTTAGACATACACGACTTTTCTCACTTCACTCAGGTGGAAATGAGTACCTAGCTTCGGTTAGGGACGTCCCTCAGATTGGACGTGAAATGGAGGTCCCGTGTTTGGGGAGAGCCACACCCCACGCACGTTAAAGAACCCACCGCACTTATCGAAAAGAGTAGGGGACCTTCTCGCTGTGAGTGGTTCAAACCTTACAGTCCGGTACCGGTCTTATGCAGCGTGTACTCACATGAACAAAACTGATGTGTTACGCCTATTATATAGAAAAGCGGGTTACCGGTTATGCGAAACAAACAAACGAACAAACAAACATGCCCGTACCTCTACAGTAGCTCCCGTCTCCCTGGAACCCTTCCGTGCAGGTGCAGGTGTATGAACCGAAGGTGTTCTGGCAGGTCGCGTGTTCATCACATAAATGCTCACCTGTCATGCACTCATCAACATCTACAGTAAGAAATGAACGAATGAATGAATGAATGTTCCTCACAAGTTTTCAAGGAAAAAAAAGGAAATGAATGGCAAACTTTGAAGTATATTCACGCTAACCTTCGTCGCATTTGCTCCCGTGGTATCCCTCCTGGCACAAGCAGCTGAAGCCGTTTTTGTGATTCACACACACCTGCCACTCCTCACACGGCCGCCTGTCACAGGCCTGGCCCTTGGACGATGTATGCCCGTGGTGACGCCCTGGGATCCGGAACACACAAAAACAACTAATAAAGTAAGTTATCTGTATCTGTATCTGTATAGCCGGTATAACCGCCTTTCGGTGTAACACACCAGATTATATCAGTCTGCAACTGGTGGATTACTGACTGAAACAACAGAGGGGAGAAACCAGCCAACAATCCAACCACCCGGTTTGAATTTCTCAAGTCATCATATGCCAAGTACAAGTTACATCTGTGCCTAGCTTAATCTATTTCAGTATATTCATAACTGTGAAGCAAATTGCAGTGTGTAACAACTCCGTAACAGAATCATATATTGGAAACGATAACAGGCCCAGTCCTTAATTTGAGATACCAAAGATTCAGCATCAAACATCACTTCATTTCAGACAACTATCCTTTCTGTCTACCAATCCTAATTCCTAGACAAGATAAATTTCTCACCTTCGCTGCCTAAGATGGTCCCAATCACCAGTAAGGCAGCTATAACCGTCTTCATCTTTGCTTTATGTCACACTGCTGTCCATTGCGTCAAATAGCGGAGGAGACTTGCAACTTCAAAACAAACAGTAACTAGGCAACCCGATTGTCTGAGGCTATCACCAGCGTTAGCACTGTTACGTGATAACAGAACAAGAACAAAACGATTAAAAAGAAAGAGACTATAAATGATAAGTCAACAACTAAATCGGGCGCCCTAAAACTACATGATTTTGATGGGCGTCTTCTAAAAAACGGCAACGGTGCCAAAAAATGCGTTATCTGGCGTGTTCTATAGAACGTTGTTAGGCACCATTCGAATTCTAGAACACAACTTGGCAACCGGATTCGACCCTTGACGACCGCGAAACATATCCACGAAAAGGGACTGCTACCCTGTGTTAGGCAATCACCAAGTCGTTCTTTTCGTTCCTTTGGTAAAAAAAAATGCTAAAGCTTCCGTTGGTTTGCTTGTTTATGAAGGAAATCAGTACCAATAGCAGACCCATTGATCATTGTGTGGATAGTGGTCAGCACCAAGGACAGTAACGGTATTGTTTGTCTGTAACTTGTGTGGATTGTGTTCAGCACCAGGGAAAGGCATGTTTGTGTGTGGATGGTGTTCAGCACCAAGGACAGGCATGTTCACCTATGTGTGGATGGTGTTCAGCACCTCTGCTCGGAGAGTACGGAAAATCAGCGCCATCACCATATTCATTTAGCGTCACCTAGCGATAATAGAATAAATTTCATGTGGCTTACTTCTGAAACGTCCGAAAATTAAATAACGTAAGGTAAGATAAAACAACGCGGTGCGGAACAACATAGTCATAGAATAAAACAAAATTGAAACTTAAAAGGAAATAAACAAAACAAATTGAGATAAAACAACAGCTGACCAACATATTCATATCAAAAGTATAGCTCCGTCGTTCCAAAGGAGTGCTAGGTTCACATATGTATTGAATGAAAAGGTTTGCGTCAATTTATATATGTTATATTGGTTTTTATTCGGCGTTCTTTGACAAAGATCACGTCCAAACACCTGTAAACAGTCATTACCCCCTATAGGGATGGCGAATTCTACGCGTCACCTCATTGGTTGAACCCCTCTAGGCACTGACGACATTGTCGCGCTTGCGCACTGTGGGTCTTCTCGCACCCGGGTGTTCAGGTAAAGCGGACAAATTCTGCTGAACTAGCCGGAATATCCGAGTGTTATCGCCGTAATTCTGCAACATCATGTCTTATATTCTGTCGAATTTCTTAAATAGAGCCTTTATCTTTGTAATGAGTGGAAAATCACAGCATGTTAAGTTCGTTTGAAGCTTTGATGCGCTCTTGAAATCTTGCTGGTTTCCAGGGGTCACACCGGTAACGGCGCCCTCCATTTTGTTCTTCAGGTTTGTTCGCAGTTCGAGCCACCGTCGCGTGTAGCACAACCACTACCAACATGTACTCCCTGGCAAGGATCGCTTCCCAGTCTCTGGTAAGTTCTTTTAGGCAACTACATGCCACTTTTCTTGGAACGAATCTCGTGAAATTGTGCTATTATGTCTTCTTATGGAGCCGGTTGCTCAAGGTTATCGATCGTGCTACAGGGGATTTTGACCGCCGAGTATCGGCCGCGTTTTAAAACCATGTTACGTTTTACAGCGTTTTTGACTATGAATATGTCGCACTATCTGTAAATTTAAATCTGAGCTCAATTGCTAATGTTATACCCGTTTAAATCAGTGTTAAACTATCGCGACCTTCATTTTTCGGTCCATGTCATTTGAAATAGTAATGGCGGACACGCCGGTACAGGTCAAAGGTCAAACGGAATTTAGAACGTTTTGTTACCCGTGAGAGATGTATAAAAACCCTATTTTATACAGCCCCAAAGGTGGAAATATTAAATCAACATAGGACAGCTTTTATTTGGATTTTGAGCCGTAGGTTAGGGTACCAAGGCTTGAGTACAGCTACCCCTCCCCCTTTCAATTTCACTAGATTGCTTATTCTAATGTAAATGCTTTAATCAATACAACGGAACAAGTAAAGAAATGGACTGATTACATTTATTGCAATGGGCCTACTTTGATATGGAAATGTCCAGATGCCAGTGATAAAATGTGTCTAAGATTGTACCTAATTGATAAGAATATAGTTTGCCAAGTGTAGATATTATGTCTTAGACTTTTACTGAGTGTAATTTTGGTCATTTTTAGTTAAAAGACTTAAGGTTCTCTCAGTTTATTCTTTAATATTAACTGAAAAAAACTTGTCATGTTTCCACATGATTCTGTCTATGCCCCCCTCCCCCATATAATGTCTCCATGGCTCAAGGGCATAAAGGCACTGTGACCCTTGCCTTACCATAAATAGATCTACCGTTACAGTCTGTTATGGTTAGGTATTGTCTAGTATTGCTGGAAATGGCAGTGCTAATTAGATTGATAGATCACTAATCATTAGTTCGGTAATCTTTCCCTAATTTGGGAGTTTTGGAATGACTAACCATATACAGAGAATGGTTTCTTTTGGTTTTGTACAAAACTTAGCTGATCTCATGGGAGTTTCTACAATGATGTTTTAAAAATGTTGTGTTGTATTTTCTTTTATGTACCCTTTTTATCGTAGGATCAAACTGGAAAAGAATGCTGTTGATTTGAGACTTTTGCTACAATAAAAAGAATGTTGGAAAGTTCATCATTAGAAAGGAAAGGACACCAAAAAAACAGTTACACAAGCAACTGAATATAATTTTGGAAACGGTTAGATGTTTTCAGGTAGCATCCACTACCTTTTGTCAGTCACACTGGAGAGTAACAGTTTTCTGGTGTATCTTATTACCTGGATGTCTAACCTTCACCCACGTATAAAGTATAACAGCAAAAGTAGGTGGTTATTGTTGAACTGGAAGAAAAGATGGTACCGTGGTAGTTAAAGTAACACTTTCAACATGTTACTGTACAGTATTTCAGTCACTGACGAAAGCTAGTGGATACTAGCTGAAACGTGTGACGTTTTCAAAATCATATCCAGTTGCTTGAGTAACTGCTTTTTGGCGTATTGTATTACTTGGATGTCTAACCTTCATCGACATACTGTACAGTATTGTCCTCACATGTCTAACTCTGTTGTTTCTCCCCAGGTTGCTAATGGATCCCGTGCCCTGGTCAGGCCCCTCAGCAGTGCTGTTACCTGTCGGCAACCTGAGCAGGTAACCCAACACCAAGTCAATATTGAGCAAGTAGATGGATATAAAGACTTGTGATTCAATCTTTCTGTTGTAACAAATTTGTATCCATGATGAAGCTGAACTGGGACCAGCTAGGATGAAAATTTTAAATGACTAAGAAAATACACGAAATATGTGTGAATAAATGAAAAATAAACAAGTGCATGTTGTATTTTTATATTGTATGTGGGTTGCTTCTAAGATGACTGCATCATCATCTCTACTTTGTAGACACTGTAAGGAAGTTGTAGTTCTTCACCTTATTGGTAGAAGGGAAACAAACTGAAATTTTCATTGAATCTTAATGTTTTTATGTTTTACTGTGTTCTGTACAGCTGAGTGGAAACAGACCAACCATAGCAAAGTTCCAGGGACTCAGCACAGAGATGACCAGTGTTCCAAGCTTCCAGCAGGTAACCAGCATCATTAACACATATTTAAATTCAATTCCAAAGAAAACTGCACTGTGTGGCAGGAAACAATATCTTCACTTCATGCGGGACCTTTAGGAATTGTACAAGTTTCTGAAAAGTAAGATTTTCCCATGTTGGTGCTTGCTAGTCCCCAATAAATGAGGTGCTAGTATCATTTCTATTAAGTAGACACTAGTTAACACTACAGTCCACCCTAAGAAATACAACACACGGTTTTAAAAAGGGCTACTTTTGCCAGTTATGAAGTTGTAATATCTAGCTCGGATTCTGACTATATACAGGTGCCATTGCAATACCAAGGGAAGCTGCCAGGAAGCCCTTCCTAAGACTTACCACCTACCAAATGCCATTACATTTTGTACAATCAATCTGTATCTTGAGTTATGCAGTTGGTTAGTGTATACACAAGCACTTATTTATTTTTATAGCGCTGAAAACAATATCTCTGCTTATGGAGGTTGTTAAGGGTTAATTTTTCTACCTTTTGGTTGGATTGTTTCAGATTGTCCGAGGTTTCCAGACGTCCGCCGTCTCTCGTGACATAGACACCGCGGCCAAGTTCATCGGAGCCGGAGCAGCTACTGTAGGAGCCGCCGGGTCCGGCGCAGGAATCGGAACTGTATTCGGATCCCTCTGCATCGGTTATGCTAGGTGCGGATAACTGTACTTCTTTCATGATCCTTAATTTATTTCTCGTGATCCAGAATTTCTAACTTCTTATATGCGGACTCTTGAACATATCATTATTTATTTTTGTACTAAGTACTTCTTTGTACTGACCATGTTACGAAATAGCACTATTATTTGATGTACTTCAAAAGACGCCACGTAACATAATTTTTAAACTCTCATTTGTTGCATGAACTTCATCACAATCAATCATGTACAGTTGGAGAGGAATAGACCACCTATTTTAAAAACGCTACCAAATTTTCTATCCTAAACCCTTTGTTTTACAATGCTAATAAACTTATCTTAAAATTTGATGTGTGTTGGTAGAAGTCATTATGAAGCAAGTTTAAACTGTAATTTCCAACACAACAAATGAGACTTTCCCAACTTTTTGGCTGTAAAACTCCAGTCTTTGTCAAGGAATGAACAATCCATCGCTTCTGTGACGTCACATGACTTGGTGAGCAGATGATTAAAGGTTGCACAGATAATTAAACAGTACCCTTTTTTTTTTCCCCAGGAACCCATCCCTGAAGCAACAGCTGTTCTCGTACGCCATCCTGGGGTTCGCTCTGTCCGAGGCCATGGGTCTGTTCTGCTTGATGATGGCTTTTGTGATCCTGTTCGCCATGTGAGAGAGTCCCAGGCTGCTGTATGACATAATGTTTGGCTAGACCAGATTGTATTTGAGAGTCTAAAAATAAAAGGTTGTATGAATGAGTTAGTCACAGATGCCACATGTCCACCACATGGAGATATTGTACCCAAAGGATTGTAAAACAAAAGAGTCAAAACTTAAAAGAAAGAAACAATTTGATGAATATTGTCTGATTTACCGTAGCGTATTCCTGAGTTTGTACATCCATGTCTGTCGTACCGAGTTGCGGCAAACGATCAACCCACGTGTCATGTGAACCACATCCGTTTTTCCCTCTTGAATACCATCCAGACTTGTTGGAATTAATAAATAAAAGAGATGTGGACAAAAGTGATGTGCTTTGAATTATCTTTCTTCAGGGTGTTCAGGGGCAAAGCCACCCAGACTTCTTGTATGGTGTGAAATTGAATGTAGGGGAGAAGACCTATCTAGAGTTTTGAGTGAAGGTAAATGGCACAGATACAAGGCGTGAGTGGGGAGAGAAAAAATGGAAGCTTCAATGACATACAGGTTTTTAATCTGACAAGACATCGGGCCACTACAGTTGGGAAAATTGCTGGGGTGTGCTGACTTTGAGCTGAGCTATGGTACTACAATTGTTGCTCTTTTGTAGAAGAATCTGTGGAGCTCAACACTTTGACATGGGTGACTTAGCAATGCTGATTTCTGACTTATGGTTGTAAACTTGTAAACATACAAATTGATTAAATTGGACTCTCTTTACCCTTTCTGTCTTTTTTTTTTTATTTTGCAATGGCTTTGTTTTAGCCTGAGCATAGTTCTTGGATAAGGCATGGTTCTAGTTACAAAATTTTGCATATATCTTCATGGAACATTGTATTGGTTATGCTGGAAGTCTCCTGCTTTGGACTCGAAACATCCAGACAACGATCTCCAAGCAGATCTTTTGGTGGGGGTAAGACAGTATCAAATGGCCAGCCTGTATCCATTTACCCACTTTGGTGGGCAAAAAGATACAGGCTGACCAGTTTGATTACTGCCTTACCAAAAGATCTGCTTGGCGATATTAAACCAGACAAAAGGATTGGTCATTCAACCACAACAGGGAAGTCACAAACAAATTAATTTAGGACATGAACTGGTCTTGGAAATGAAATAAACTTGAAATAACAATTCTGGAAACTGAGGAAGACTGATAGAAATGATGATGGTTAATTCAGGGAGCAAAAACACCTTTATCATGTACCCTGTATTACCCACAGCTTTCCCCGTGCTATGTCTAGGATGGGGAGGGGGGCAGGTAGGAGGTTGCACCGCATCGCATTCCAAGCCTGCGAAGCTGGTGTGTTACACCGAGAGCTGGTTTTACCGGCTATACAGAAACAGACCCTTTGGAGTAACTAACTCGAGTATACTTTGAGAACTTTTGATCGATGTTCCGAATATACATTTGTATTTATCAATCAGTATAGTTTCGCAGTGATTTGCGGTTGACGCCGCTCACGACTGCCACCTACCGATTCTGATATGAACTCCAACCAGCCACCTCTTTGACCCCTAATATTCAAGATGGCGGACACTCGGGCTGGTGGTGAGCGTGTGATGCGTAAAGTCGACCTGGAACAGGACGTCCTGACAAACGAGGAACGCACCATGATGGACCGAATGAACGCTCTACAGGCGGCTCGGGCTATGGAGAGGAGTCGGGCGAGATGGTTCAGGAGAAATATCATTCTGGGGCTGGCTCTGGGAGGAGTTGTGCTGGGGACTTGTATCCTTGTTACAAAACAGTTGCGCACATGGTTTACGTAAAGCGTTATAATATCGTGCTTAACTTCCGTGCTTTTATGTGTCTGCTTAAGTTATAGGTCGTTAGTAACAGTGAATAGGCAGTAGATTGGTTGATGCTTGGTCTTTAAAAATATAGTCTTAAAATCTGACATGCAAAATTTTACGCAACCATGATATGTGGGGAGGGGGGCACTGCCGTCACATATTTTGTGTACTGGTTACTCCTAGGTCCTGTAAGTCATCACTTTGCATGATTATATATGTACGTAGCTTCATAGCTACCAATGAATGTTTGTATTGTAGTTTTTTTGTTCGCTATTTTAAAAATTCCAAATTATATCCTATTTTGTACCAACCCGATGAAATTATTTCCAGACACAACTTTTATTTGATTTTGTCAGATTTTTTCTGCTTATGTCCTTAACCTTTGACCTCAGATGGTTTCACAATGTACAGAGTTCGACAGGAAACCTTTGATGACGTCGTGCCAATCAGCAAGGAAGGTCAAAGTTCAGGGGGCAGCTAGGTACAAAGGTCACATGCCGGAGGTGAAAGTTGATGGTGGGGATCATGAATGCACAACAAGAGAACACAAGAACTTATGTGTTATGGGACAAGAACTGTCAGTATCATGTTGTATACTGACATGGCTGCAGACGGAAAATTAGGATTACCAAGAGGAATGAACTGTTCTTGTGGTGGATTGTTAGTAATTGTCTTAGATAATAATGATACAGTTTGAAATGTAAAGAAGAGTTCAGTAGGAAAGTGACCAACTTGTATGACTTGTTATGAACTTGAGCTTGCTTGAAATTGCTGAGAGAGACTAATAGTGGATACTTTTCATGTGATGATACAAATGAAGAAGAGGCAAACGATTTACCAGTGACCCAACTTGCTGTTGATGTACGTTACTCTATGTACCATATAGAGTTATAGAGCTAGCTTTTTATACACATACACAGATGTAGGTGAATTGGGGTAGTGACTTCGCATTTCCATGCTCAATGCCAACAATATTCAGCTGTCGTTTTTTTTTCCAACAGGTATTTTCTCAGATTGTTTTACATGTACATGGCTTTTGTCTGAAGCTTTGGATCTGGCAATGTATTGGAGAATTGTTACAAGGCCTAATTATGCAGTATGTAAATTATCCATGTAGCCAATATTTCTTCCTTTTTGTCTGCCTTCCAAATGTAAATAAAAAATATAATAAAATCGGGTACACTGTTTGTTGCCGATTTTCTCACTTGAATAAATGATAATGGTCTCAATCAAAATTAGTACATGTAATTCGAATTTAATGCAGGTAATGACTATGAGATACACAAGAAAACAGTTGCTCAGATTTTGAGAATCTATCCAATTGCTTGAGTTTCTGTTTTTCTTGTGATGTTTAGAAAGAATCTGGCACCTGACTCCTCTCCAAGCAGAGGTTGGTGGGGAAGATTGTGACCTCTCTATCATTGGTGGGGAGTGGTGACATATGATAGAAAGGTGTTACAGTGGGGGTTTGTACACTTTCGCTACCAACTGACCTGGCTGATGGGTCTAGACCTTTTAGCCGAGTGGTTAGAGCGTCGGATTTGAAGCTGGTGCTCAGGAGGTCGTGGGTTCGAACCCCGGCCTGGGACCGGGGGTTTCGTTCTGTTTCTACTTGCTCCTGTTTCTTACAAAGGTCACAATCTTCCCCACCAACCTCTGCTTGGAGAGGAGCACCTGGCATCCATTCTGACATTAAGAGGAAATTATTCTCGTAGTGAACAGATTAACATCCACCCAGTCGCTGAGTCATTCTGCAAGTTGGAATTATTCATGACCTTTTTGTGTTAAATTGTGAGGAGACTAGAAAGCATCAATCGCATCGAGAGCTTCAACTCATTTGGGTCTTTCCTGAAAAAATGTAATGATCAAACCTTATAAGGATATACAGATTTAAATTCTAGCTACTGCTGGATTTATTCATAGACACAAAACCATCTGAAAGTGGATTTCAGCAATTCCTACTTTTGGAAAGCTCCCCAGGGCAGCCAGGTGCTCATGTATTACTCACCTGAAGTAACCCCTCCTAGTTTAATTGTTGGTTTAAATTACAAACCATGTTTCATCATGGAGTTAATATCTGAGTTTTCAAAATTTCTTGGTTTGATCAACTGCGTATTTTATGGATCTATTACAGTTTAGTTTCAGTTTCTTACTTATTTTTGGACAAAGAAGTTCTTTTGACAAGAAAAACGTGATGCGCCCCTTCTGAAGAGGTAAGGTGGTATCGCCCGGGCGTAAATCCCGTTACGTCATCCTCCCGCAGGTCACCTATGGTTCAGCGTGACGCAACCACGTCAAGCATCAAGCAGTTGTACATAAGAAAATATCCAATATTTTTGCTCTTATCAGCTATTAGAATGTAATTTTTGTCATAAATAAACATTATTATCATAACCATCACCAAAAATATTATCAGTGTTTCTGATCCATCCCATTATTGCTTCATTTTTTTGGGGAAGTTAAATTAGAACTGCAATCCAGCGGTTGTAGGTCACGCTGGCTAGTTCCCAGAAACGTCCGCCATCTTGTTTTGCTGTGATTGCCTCAGAGGTTGCAGTCATCAGGTATTTGGGCTTCCTTACTTCATAACAAACACGCGGGAACACTCAACATCGCGACCCTAACCTGCTTAGACACCTTGTTATTCATTTTAGACTGCTGTGTGCGTTAGATTGTGACGTAAACTCCGATGATTTCGATAGTTTCAGAAGGTAGGCATCTCACGGCTTGGACTTCCGCTTTGGTTTCCTTTCGTTGCTGACCATTTCCGTATTCATTAATCGTCACTCCCAAAATAGCTCAAAACAAGATCTGGACTTTGTAAAGCTTTCACATTTCTGTATAACATGTTGTTTGTGTCAACGGTGGTTTTAATGACAGTGTAGGTTGTTTTGGGCGCTCCCGTGGTCTTGTCATATGCATGGCTGCCTTGTTTGTTATCGATATGTTTATTTTGCTTGCCACCATAGTGTGCCCCCCTCCCAATTTTTCCTCGACTTCACAACATGTGTATAATTAATTTGAACAGGTTGCAACCACTAGACATGTTTTCTGTATACCAATCACAATTTTTGATGATCAAGAAAGAAGATGAAGAATTCACCCTACTCTTCACTGAAAAAAATGGACTGTTAGTGTGATTAAAGTACTAGCCTTCTTGCTCAAAATCCGACTAGAAAATCAGCTTCACTTCATGTAGGAATCCTGAAAATTACTTTTTATCCAAACCTTCAATAATTGTATTAGATGTACATCTCAGTACATTGTATTTACTATAATAGTTTAGATCAGAAAGCCAGGAACAGTTACACATGTATTTACTACATGAGTAGGGCCATTTAAGTTGAAACTTAGCATTCAACACAAGAAATTTGCAAGGAAATGAAAATGGGATGGTGTTAATATCCCATGTGATTGCAACACAATATCACTTGAAATTAGAATTGAAACATTAAGTTCGTAGTTTGATTTTGTAGTTTGCAGTGTTGACAGTACAAAAGTACTTTTTGTCCATCAATAAAGCTTGTATTACATGTTACATACATGTATGTAGGGACATTTTAACATGAGGGCGTTAGTAATTGAACTGTAAGCACATGTGAATTTCCTAACTAAAATTGCCCCCTCCATTAAATTATTTAATGGACGGTCCCTTTGTGTGGGTGTATTAGGCCGTCCCGTGGGTGTACCAGTTAGAACCCACAGGATGAGTCACCCTGTAGTTTAGTCAAAGTAAACACACCCACGGGAATACAAAGGAGTAACAGAGCTTGAAGGACACACTGTTCCCCCAGGAGTTGAGATTAGAGACAGTCTACCCAGCACGTGAGCAGAACGTACTGCACCTGCGCAAAACCCTGATTTTTCACGGTTTTCGTTGGATGTTTGGTCAACGTTGCATCAGAATTTTGCCTGTTGCAGACACTGTCTTTTCCAACACAACATTTGGAAACTACAGACGAGATGTTAACCTTATATACGTGAATATGGCCTTATGTGAGATGTTATGCCATAGTACTATACAAAATACATGATGGGTTCCGCTCAGGTGCAGTACGTTCTGCCGATGTGCTAGCTATAGTCTGCCCAGGTATGGGAGAAATGGTAGTATACTCTACAAGCAGAGGTTTAGGCTTTGGCTTATTTTTGGCCTGTTTTCAGACATTTTTATCGGGCTATCTTTTTTGTGCTGGTATCTTTTTTTTTACACCAGCCAAACTTTGGGTGGCAAATCTTAACTGGTCGGCAATTGAACAAAGGACATATGAAGTAATGAACGCTATCCATGGCCCTATTAGACTAAATTTTACTGTTTTTTAACCAGAGTTCTTAGTCAAGTCGAGAGTAGAGAAATGCTATACATATACTCTTAGTCTTGTCAGTTATACTATTACCATTCTTGACATTTTTAGGGACGAAAAACAGAGATTGTTACCAAAAGCTGCAGCACACTCACTCAGAACTTTGATTTAAGGTCTCATTCATAATTTTTTTCCATACATTAGAAACCATGCATTAATGAGTGACTTAAGAGACCGTGTTCCCTATGATCCTACATTAAATCAATTGATATCTTTCATGCTATGTTGAGCACACTTACTCTACGTCTCATAGAAAAATTGCCAACGACTTCTATACACACAAACCCCTTTTATGGGAATTACAAACTGCAACTAGCGGCTGCCCGCAATAGGCCCTCCCGCGCTGCAAACCTACGACCGCACAACTCACAACACTGGACTGTGCATGTCCGACCTAGCGCGCGGCTGCCGACAATTATGTCCTAATTTCATCAGTTACAAACAAGCTTTCACCGCTTTGACGTTTTACATCAGTTGGGATGCCTAAAGGGGAAATTCTCACCAATAAGAACACTCGTTCATACAGCCGTTTAGTTTTTGACTTGGTACTCTTTTAGGGGGTACACTCGGAGTAATACATGAATGAGACCTTAAATGCTGGCTGCCATGTGTATGTGTGACTCACACGGGAAAGCCTAATGGTGAATTCTTCTAGCATTACTCAGTGATCCATGTATACAGTGTACATTGTCCACTTGTTATACATGTATGTGTGTTTTACCGTCTACTACAGAGGCAATATCCTCGATAAAGCAGTCCTGTCTGATACATTTTGCATATCTGCTATATATATATTTAGTTCTATGGGGTAAACACACACATTTGGGGTGTGTGGTACTCTCCAAGCAGAGGTTGATGGTGGAAGATCGTTTTCTTTTTATATATGGCCCTTTTTTTGTCTCTACCACCACCTTGGGTGGGGAAATGGTTATATTACAGACTGGCCAATTTGATACTGCCTCCCCCCCCCCAAAAAGATCTGCTTGGAGATTAGTGTGTGGATGTCTTCTTCATTGGGGTTTTAAAAAAATCGTTTGCCAGATCAAGGACCTCTATATGTCCTTGGTAAGATGTAAGAAAAATCTTCCTAACTGGTAGACAAATGGTAGGTAAAGGACCATTAGTTTTGATGAAGTACAGTAGAATGTAAAAATGAAAGGACTACAAGTCAACCATTAATACTCCCATAACTAATGATAATATTGCCATGCACAAGCATGTAAGATCAATACTTACCAGATCAAAATAAGGACTGTGGCTATTCCATTAAGTACTTCCACAAATCAAGGTAGGAATTCAGCAGTTCAAATCTCATTTAATAAACTTGGTGATTCATAACTAACACAATAAAGGATGTTACAATCTTTATCTAGAATATTTAACCCGAGAGATCCCTGCCAATTTGAATGACACTGAAGTGAAACAATTTGAAGTGTTCTGTAATACTGTATATCTGATGGTATACAAAACATATGTGCAGGGAAATATAGATGTGTGTCATCAGGCTACAATTTGTATCAGTCACTGCACTTAAAGTTAAACTTGTAAGTTGTAGCTTTAGGCAGGCATTTGGCACCAAATTTGTAATAATGTTGATTTAGTTTTAATAATCTGTTGTCTGTTTGGATTTAACCATAAAAGATTTACAAAATGTCCATCAAGGGCCAGACATTGTCTTTTGCATATAATTCTAAATCTTATCAATTGTAATGGTAACGTTTCTTTCTAATGTTTTTATGGCTAACATTATTATCATATAAAGTTTGACATTTGAGAGTCAAAGCGTTTTTGAGTACATGTACCTGATTTAACCATAAAAGACTTGTCGATCAAGGCCCAGACATTCTCTTTTGCATATACATGTAATTCTAAATCTTATCAATTCTAATTGTAATGTTTTTATGGCTAACATTAGTATCAGATAAAGTTTGACGTTTGAAAGTCAAAGCGATTCGTGTACTACATGGCTGCCATGTTGATTTTAATGAAGTTTGACATTTGATGCCCACAGGACTACATTCTGGGTGACCTGTGACCCCTAGCCCGTGCCGTCTGATTGGTGGAAGTCCCCAGAAAGAGGACCAGGATGGGAGATGACGACAAACCTTTCGCGTGCCCCTCATGTGGGCAGGTGGGCACTACACCGTTAATTTTTGTCTCGTCTGGCAGGAAGTAGTATTACTAAATTTATTTATTTTTTTATTATTACCCCAATGGCCAATGATAGCATTGTCTCTTCGCTGAAATAATTAATTAGATCATAAAATGAACCAATTAATACTCACAGAAAGAACTGCAAGGCTATTGATATTACTTTCAATATTTTACCTTTTAATATTGATATTTTATATTGATTGATATATGCCTCCTCTGGGTCTGCCAATTCAGAGCAGAATGCCACAACCACTTACTTAGGCCACACCAATTCAATTTCTTGGTTAACGGATTTTTCTAGAAAAATAATGGAGCGGGCGGGCGAGAAAAAAAATAAAAACAAAAATAGGCATCCTATTATGGCCCAAAATGGTACGATAGGAGCCATGAGGTCAATACACCAGGCTGGTTCAAAATTTAAACAATGACTTTTTAACTTTTGATGATGATACCATTGCATTGAAAGATGGAATAACTGTAACAACTAGGATGAAAAGGACTGTTTTCAACTGTTCAGAGCAAAATATGAACAGTTGATTCTGAATTTTTATTTTTATTTGCAAATCAGACAAAAACGAACCGGGCGAATCTGTTAACCAAGAAATTAAATTGGTGTGGCCTTAGAAACTGGCACCACGGCTCACGAAAAAAAATTTTTTATGAGAAGCAAACATTAATAACTTGAAAGATGATTTTCAAGATTTAATGTTCACATAAAACGGTATTTTTTGTTCAAACATTCAATGAGTAATACCACATTTGACTATTTTCAGGAACTGGTATATCTCATACTGTTGTCATTAGTTTCATATCATCTTTATACGTGTTTTTAAACTTGTTAATGTTTAAAACAGAGGTTTGCGAATGAGGACCACTTGTCTGTACACAAACACAAACATGAGAGTCATTGGACAACTGCAAATGAGTGTCTTATAATTACTTGCATCAATGAGAAGCATTTATAATTTATTATTACTTGCCAAAGGTATGAGATCACAGTACTGAAGCATAATCTTGTTTGTGTTTCTGTTTAACAGAGGTTTGCGAATGAGGACCACTTGTCTGTACACAAACACAAACACGAGATGACGCTCAAGTTCGGCCCCCCGAAGCTGGATGGCCTGGTGGTGGACCAAACGCCGACTCCTACCAGATTCCTCAAGAACTGCGAGGAAGTGGGGCTTTTCCAGGAGCTGTCGGGCGCAAGCCCCTTCGAACAGGACTTCAAGAAAGCTTCCGAGCAGAGCACATCACAGGTAAAACATTCTGTATATCTTTAGCCTGATGGCTAATCTTACAGCCTCAGAGCAAGGTACGTCACAGGTAAGGAAAGGAAAGTGACCTTACAGAGGGCCTGCAAGGGGGGTCCCAACAACGCTCTACGCTGAATTCGGAAACCTCTCGATTACGCTTTATGATAAATTCCAAGTGGCTACAACGCATTACGTAGAATTAAAACGCCGAATACGCTCTACGCAAAAACATTAGAGCGGTCCATCTACGCTCTACGTAGAATTAAAACGGCCAATTACGCTCTTTGGAAAAGGGCTTGCGGGCCCCCCTTACAGTTTTAGCTCACTGAAGAGCTACTATTTCACTGGTCATGACAAAGAAGACAGATATTTACAGGTTCATGGTACCAGGGAAATTCCCCTTAAGCTCTTTTTGACAAGGACTGCAGCCCTTTCCAGTAGCGTATTTTGTAATAATGTGTGTTTCGTTTACCATGTACATGTTGTCTGTTATATTTGTGTTATTTCTGCTTGTATTGTAACCGTGTAAGATTAACCTTTAGGCATTTGAGGCACAAAGGACATCAAAATAAAGAGAATAAAAATTTCGTTCCAGGATTCAGGCGACCAGTCCGAGCCAGCGGAGACGGCACCGTTACCCGCGGCAGACACCAGAGTCCCCGCGCCGGCCGCTCCTGTCGCTCACGTGGCTCCCGTATCCATGGAAACCAGCGCCGCACCCACCCAACCAGAACCTGCCAGAGTTAACCCACCGCCACAGGTACGGCAGATATCAACATCATCATCATCATAAAAATAATTGTTTATTGCAAATTCTTGCCCGAGGGCTAATTGCAGGAACAGAAGAAACATATGCTATAAAAACAGACAATTAGTACACATAGAACTACTGATAACTACTAAGAAACTACTTGTAAAAATAATAATTGACCCCGTCAGGCGAAAAGTAGGGGGGAGGTCTCACCACTGAACAAACATCCACTAGATATCTACTGTAGTGGGAACCGGTTGATTGATGATTTAACACAAACCTAGTCATTTCACTTGCAAAGCCGTCAATTAACACTGTTCTTGTGGCATGCAAGGGTCAAGAAGGAGACTTACCCGGTAGTATTTCAGGCCCATTGTCTGTCAATGACTGGCTGTTAAATAGTCATCACAGCCGTGACAAACAGAGCATTCCACTAGGAAATGGTAAGAGAGGAAAATGAGTATTTGTATGCCTCTGTTCTAGTATTTATACTTAGATGGCTTCCCCATGTACACCCCTGGGACAGTTGATTGTAGACTGTCAGTTTGTATGTTCATATGGTTGTACATAAGCTTCGGGGTTCGAACCCAGAACCTTCAGATTCTGAGCCAACAACCACAACCGCCAACAACCGCCCTAACCACAAGACCACCTTGCCGCCAGGTTGCAGCCACCAACGTCGTGACAAGTCCGTCTGCTACCATGGCGACCCCGGAGCTGGTTCCGACCATCGGCATCGCCGGTACCGTCTCTACCGTCATCACACAGGCACCGGCCGGCATGGCGCGGCAGATGAACACGTTTCAAGGTACAGGGCTTGAAATCATTTGTCTCTTTGCCGTAGACTATAATACCGTATTCATAAATAGCCGGCAGGGCTCAAAATCCTTTTTATCTCCACACCTGCACTACTGGTACAGCTAACATTGAAAATTACCTGCACCAGACAAATTTGGAAGTATGGATCACACTAAAAACTGTTTCAACACCATAGCCATTATTTCTTTTATGTTGACGGCCACTCCATCGGAGTAAGGCAAGTCTACAGGTGTAGTCATTATTTCTTTTATAATCCATAGGTGGTAACAGTCAGTGCAGCAAATAAAAATCCATTGGATTTTAAACAACAATTCCAGGAAGATTAGTTTATAATTTTGTATCACTAACGGAAATTCTAAACAGACAAACAAACATCCCTCTGTGCACAATCCAGGTTCCCTGCCAGTACTACTGCATCTGCCCAACGGTACCACCATGCCCGTAGCGGTACCAGTACCAGCGTCCATAGCTAACCCCTCGGTGCAGGTACCGTCGGCTATCCCTGCCCCTCAGAGCAGTCCTACTGGATCCACCATCCAACAACAACAACAGCCACATGCAGTCCAGCCTCCACAGTCCGAGGCAAAACTGGTCAGTAACATACAGAGTTATAATTATATTACAATGGAATTAGTACTGGTCTGACTCGAAATAACATCCAAAAACTGAGTCCAAAAAACCCTAAATTCGTGACCTGACATATATTAGACAGTGATTGCAAATAAAGTGTCCTAAATAATCAGATGTCTTGAAAATTCAAATGGATATTAAAAAAATGAACATTCTTCCTCCCATACTATAGGAGTCTCCCCTTGACTACAGAGCCCACTACTTACCCATGGTGCCTCACCATGTCTTGGCAAGTATATCACTACAGAAATAGGTTGAAGGGCTGTCAAATTATTCAAATTTTTTATAAATCAATGACCAAATCTTGGTGTGGTTTGCTTGGGCATTTAACCTCAATCCCGCACAGTTCATATCATTATGCAATTTCAATTGTCGCAGCACAAAAATCATTAATCGGTGATGGTTTTGGCTTCCTATACAACAGTTAGGGTGGTTAGGTTTTACAAGCAAGTCTCCAGAAGGTACTACATCTGTACGAAACCTGGATTTTTCATGGTTTTTGTTGGATGTTTGTTCCACATTGCATAAGAATTTTGCCTATTGCAGGCGATATCTTTTCCGACACATCGTTTAAAACAATAGACAGGATGCCACCCTTACATGTAAATACGCAGATACGACCTTATATGAGATGTTATGCGGAAGTGCTATGTACAATACATTACAGGTTTGACACAGACACAGTATGTTCTGCCGACGTGCTTTACAACAGAAGATTTCTTGATTGTTTCCCCCGTTACAGAGACTGAAGGCAGCGCTGGCAGGCAGCAGCATGCCGGGGAACATGTCGGTAATGTCTCAGGCTGTGGACGTCATCATGTCTCAACAACAACAACAACAACAACAACAACAACATGCGGGCCCGCAGGACCTGAGCCAGCACAGAATGGCCATGGATGAGTCTCCCCCCATGTCCATGTCCATGTCTCCCAGTCCTCCCACAAGTCCTGGGTAAGGATTACTTACTAGTACTTCCTTATTTTCTTACTTACTTACTGCCCTTACCGGTAATGTCAGTCCCAGCATGTAGGGCAGCAACGAAAGCTCCTCAGTTCCTTTTGCCCTGGACTGCTCTCTGGTTACTGTCCCATTTGTGTCTGAAATTCTCTACGCATGTCCATTTCCTCGAGTCTCCACACAAGTATAGGGTATCTGAAAGAGATCTTTAGCTCACTGAAGAGCTACCCTTCCACTGGTCGTGACAAGGAAGACAGCCGCTATGTACAGTATTTACAGGTTCATTGTACTGGAGAAATTCCATTAGCCCTTTTTGACAAGCCCAAAAAACAATGGACCTAAGATCTGCGACCCTTTCCAGTCATGTGCTGTATCTAAAAATTAACAGTTGAAAATTTGAGCAACTGGATACACTTTCCAAATTTTAAAATCCATCCGGTAACTGTTGTCTTGTGTATCTCATTACCTGGATGTCTAACCTTTGTTGACATGTTTGTCTAAAGTTGTGTTTATCTTTCCAGCTGCAGCCCCCCCTACTCGGGACAGGGCATGGACACCCCCCCTCCAGCTACCACAGGCCGGCGGAGACGGGGGCAGGAGAAAGACCCTGAGCTCAGGCGACAGAGGTTCCTCGAGAGAAACAGGTCAGTTGATTTTCTTGCTTCATGTAAACGGGTAGCTGCCTTTAGGCGTAACAGATCAGTTTTGTACAGTAAGTACAAGCTGCGTAAGACCTGACTGTAAGGTTTGATCTACTCACACTGGGAAGGATCCCTACTCATTGCAATAAACGTGGAGGGATCTTTAATGTGCTCGAGGTGTGGCTGCCCAAACACAGAAGCTTTGTGTTACAGTCCAAGAGGATGTCCCTAACATACTCATTTTGGTGGAGCCTGCCAGAGATTTCAACCCCAAACCTTGCAGATTCTGAGTCAACAACTTCAAGCATATTAAAGATCCCACCACACTTATCAAAAAGAGTAGGGGACCTTCCTGGGGTGAGTGGACCTTACAGTCCGGTCTCAGGTTTGACATCTTGAAAAGGTGATAGTCAAACCTGTTGTGTCAGTCTTTCTGAACTCCACAAATGTGTTGCAAATCTCTCAATGTATTTGCACACAGAGCGGCAGCTGCCAGATGTCGGCAGAAGCGAAAGCTCTGGGTGCAGTCCCTGGAGAAAAAGGCAGAGGACCTCACTGCAACCAACCTGCAGCTGCAGAGCGAGGTCTCCCTCCTGAGGAACGAGGTGGCACAGCTCAAACAACTCCTGCTGGCCCACAAAGACTGCCCCATCATGGCCCTGCAGCAAAAGTCTCACGCCACCCTTTTACAAGGTACGAACAGGCAAGTACTACAGTTGTGTGTGACATTTGGGTGAGGCGTGAAGGAACTCGCTCTCTCTTATCTCTTGGTCTTCTCTTCCTTCTACTGTGTTAAAGCACTGTTTTGATCTAGCTTTAGATGGCAATAATGCCTTGATAAAGCAAATACTGGAATGATTTCGTAGTTTAAAGTAGAGTGGATTCATTCCTGAGGCTAACTGACATCTAGCATACTGCAGTCGTCCCTCAGTAAGACATCTGGAGCTGAATTGATAGAAGTTGGTTAGCATCATCATCTGGTCGTGAGAGTTTCACGGATGCCTGTGACTCTACTTTATACTGCAATGATTTTGTGTTCTGATGTGTTTTTAGCTGGTTCATGGTTTGTGGGAGGCCTTTATTTCCACTGTTGCATGTATCAATGAGGTGTAACATTTATTTAGAGTTGTCTGAAAGTCTGTTTTTGAGCATATTGACTCCCGAGTTGCCCCCCTCCCCCTTCCCCAGGAGAAAAGGTTCAGGATCCAACGGTAAGCCAGACCCCGGGCAAGGCCATCACCACGACAACAACACTCAACTTGACGACAGTTGCTGAGGCGGTGGCGACCTCTGGCCTGACCCAGGGGGCAGGGGTCACCGGGGTCACCACACTGGTCCTGCAGCCTGGGAACGAGAGCGCCGCCGCCACCCTGATGTCGGTGGGTATGCCGGGAACGAGCTCGGCCGAGGCGGTGGCGACCTCTGCCCTCACCAACATGGCGCAGCGGGCAACTCTCGAGCTCCAGCAGATGCAGGGTCAAGGGTCAGGGGTCGCAGGGCAAGGGTCAGACAGCAAGTAGTTAGGTCAAAGGGCAAGGGGCCAACCCATCTTGGCTAAAAAAACAAGGCAAGATATTTGGCTGGTTCTTATTTTTGTCCTTAAAACTACACAAGAAAAAGGAAAGTTGAGTTCAAACATGAGTATGACTCTGTGTTGCATAATGTCGGACGTAATTTCTCTGCATGTTGTTTAAAATTGTTGTAGCGCAAAATAGAGAAGACATATTTTTTAAAAGAATAATGAAGAGAGAATCCTGAATTGATGTCAAGACTGACGAGGAATTTATTCAGATCACTTGTATCTAGCTAACCAGTCAAAATTCTAGCCCAAAATGTTTCAATATTGTTGTGAAAGTAAGAATATTACATGTAAGTGATAAAGTCGTTATGTCTAGGAGTCCAAAACATAGATACTGACTCCTGTAACATTGAAGCATAGGCATGATATAGGCATAGTAGCTTTACTGTAAATAGGCTATACAGAATGTATACATATTGCGGCTAGATTGGCTTTTTTGAAATTAATGAGGAATATACAATGTAAGTGTAGCTAGGCAAGTAGAAGTGCTGACTGGTTTTGTATGTATATGTCAACGTTCCAGACTATAATGTTATGTCAGAAGTACCAAGAAATGTACAGAGCAGTGAACGGAAGCAAAAAAAATAATAATCGTGAAGCTAAAAGTGACACACCCTGAAAAAGCATCTCAAATGCAGTTCTCTGAGGTATCAAAATGTTTTTTGAAAAGGACACAATCGTACATTAGTCCAGAGGTGAAATTGACAAAAAGGAAGTATAGTACACTTTATGTGCCCTTATATTGTGAGCATGTGACTAGAACAAACAGTGTACTGCATGAGAAGATCATTTGGAGCAAAAACAAGTCAACTAGCTGACAAAGGAAATATAAATTGAGTTCACGTATAAGGTGGTCTTCTCGTAAAGCTAGTTGTGTGGCATGTACACAATAATGGCCATAGTTAACTGGTGGAAATCATTCGTTCTCAAATGAAAATCGTCCACTTTTCAGCCATGAGATACTAGTACTTGTACCAGGTATTTACATAGGGGTAAACTGAACTTAGCTTCCTAAAACTTAAATAGCACTTTTGAAATTTTGTTGGTTTAGAGTTAAGTGCCATTATGAAGATGTTTGTTTATTGGACTTTTGTATTTTTATTTTTTTGTTATTGTTGTTAAATCTAATTCATTGGTTACGAAAAGAGAACAACAGGTCTTTCAAAGTGCTTGAATCAACACAGTTTGTTAGTGACGCACCAACTATATCTAGCCTCCACCAGGCCTTCCTACGGGGTACAGATCATAGAATTTGCCAAAAAAAGGGAAGAATAGTTGGCAAAGAGAGTCAGTCCATCCAAAGAAAAAATGAACTCTATGGTGGCCAAACTCCCCTGACTAATTATTCTCTCTATTTAACTAAATTCCACTGTTTTTGAACCTGCATGGTTAGTCTGGTGGAGACTAGATCCACTATATGCTTCTGTCTTCCTACGGCTACGGTGAATATTGTACTTCGAGGTTTGCAGGAAAACGTCAGAAAATGCTGAATATTTGTTGTCATGTAGAAGCGGGCTTCTATGAATTTTACCCTTTGCAGACCTGTCAACTGTGCATAGTAGGTATGCAGGAGATCACACCAAATTCAAGGCATAGCAATGTTTAAAAAACGGAATAATTTTCCCCAGAAGGTTTTCTCTTAGTACGGAATGTAACAAAACTGTATGACGTTGTGTAAATCGCAACATTTTTATAAGAGGATACAATTTCTGTATTAAAAGCATAGATCTATAGATAGACACAGATTTTTGCAACTTCTGCATCTGCAAAGTTTATATGTATGTGAGCATTGAACATGTTTGCATTACCGTAGTGTACATGATGTACTCTGTACCCTATGTATGTCCTCATCATCATACCAATGTACTTTGTAAAAACTAAGAAAAAGCGTAATGTCCATTTTGATACTTAAACAAGGAAGAAAATCTTTGTTGCTCTCCTATGGATACATTGTAGATATCATATTCACCCTGGAAGCGTCCATTTTGTTTGGAAAGTATGGGATATTATACCAACGATGTGTAGCACTATCTATAATAGTGATATTTCCATAAAAAAAAACATTTTGCAGGACAGTGCTTTCCCAGACAGCTTGTAGGTATTTCATGTACATTCCTGTTAAGTGACGCTAGTTAGAATGGCTCCACCCCAGAGTGGTGTTGCCAAAAAAGCTTTATAATATCATGGTGCAGCTATGATGTGTATGTGTGTACAGTCCGACTAGTGCTCCCCAAGAAAAATAATCAACATCAACATCGTCTTTACAGTTCTTAATGTAGGAAAACATCACACTTTTTAACACATCCTGAAGTTTTGATGGTGCTTTACTTGGTATACCTGCATGACACACACACAAAAAAGCAGAAAAAGCTGAAGTACTAGAACTAAATGTAGCACCCCCCCTCCCCCTTTTGTACTTACCACACTTATAAAGTAAGGTTCACAAAGACTTCAAAGCACATCAGAAATGTGGATCATTCTTAGCTAGGATGTGGTGGCAAGTAGTGGTATTATAAAGAACTCCATAATATTTTGTGATACATTATGGCAAAACTTTCAGCTAGTTCTTTGTCATTGATGGTGTACAGATGTAACATGTTTCAATCTTTGTCAGACCCGCAAACGATCAATAAATATATTGTGTACAATCAGTTTGGGACTGTAGTTTGTTGTAGGTAGATATTTTATTAATTGACATGGAATGATGCAACTGGTGAACACCATCCATGCACAAGTAAACATGCTTGTCCTTAGTGCTCGAAATTATTTGCAAACAGGCCTGTCCACACACAGGCAAACATTTGTCCCTAATGCTGAACATTATCTATACACAGGTGAACATGCCTGTCCTTGGTGCTGAACACCATTCACACACAAGTAAACACATCTGTCCTTGGTGCTGAACACCATCCACACACAAACATGCCTTTCCCTGGTGCTGAACACAATCCACACAAGTTACAGACAAACACTACCGTTACTGTCCTTGGTGCTGACCACTTTCTTAATTGCCCTACTGTACCTACCCTTCCCTTTTATAAGGAACTCCTGGCCAATTTAGTAGCCCTATTTGTTACTGAGTAGAAAACATGGGGCATATTATGTTTGAAGCGCCCACAGGCCAATTTGATACTGTCCTTTTGCCACCGAAAGGGATCTGCTTGGAGATTAACTGTTATAACGTTATATGTAGACTAGTCTCTACCAGGCTTCGGAGGTGGCTGGAAAGAGTATGGATTGGCTAAATAGACAGATAACATGCAAGGGAAGTTGGCCTGCCAATTCTGGCATATTATCTGTCTATTTGGCCAATTTCTAGCCACCTCCGAAGCCTGTTCGAGGCTATCTGTAATCCCCAATGGCCCTTATGGACTGGGACAGCGCAGGTGGGCTACCAAGGTCGGGCGATACCACTCGTGCGTTCGGTAACATTTCTTGGACAAAATTTCTTCTTGAAACAACCCGCGCGCAATCTTTGAGACGATTATAAGATATTTTATGGGCAATTAACTCACAGTAGAAATTTTGTATATCGTTTTGAGTATTTTTGGACGTTGTATCGTGCTTGTTTTCTCTGTATTTCAAACGCGGGTGACATTTAAATGCACCCTGCCCTCCCCCCCGACAAGGTGCCGCGGCCCTGACAAGATGGCGGCGTTCTTCGTGCACGTCTGCAGGTTCGGTGGTTGCGGCTTGACCTTCCCTTCCCTGGGCGACCTCATACTCCACATCGAGGACCAGCACATAGGTAGGGGACGTCCCGCGACGTCTGCGTCGCCCGTGCGTCGCTCAGGTGACGCAGGACGTCGCGACGCTTGCGGCCACCTTCGGTGCGTCACGCTAGCCCCAAATGCGCAGCTTTCCCGGATCACGTGACCCGCGCAGTTTAGTGGTTCTAGCGCGCAGAAATGGCCGTTTTTAACCGGGAGAGTCAAGGTCACGGCTGGGTAGAGTGTTCTGCACGTCCTGCACGTGAGAAACGGTTGCCATGGTTACACGACAGTGCTTTGATGTCGCCGGTAATCCAGGTGATGTAGTGTAGGACCTGTCCATTTATCCAGGTCAGCGGGGGTGAGCAGGTTGGGTGTAGATTTTTTATGAAGTTGGTGGATGGAGAAGGCTAGCCTCTACCAGGCTTCGGGAGGCAGCTGGAAAGAGTAGAAATAGAGAGATAACATGCCAGGGGTGTGGCAACATGTTCACTCCCAGCAGACAATTCCCCTGGCATGTTATCTCTCTATTTGGCCGATTTCTACTCTTTCCAGCCGCCTCTCGAAGCCTGGTAGAGGCTAGAAGAAGGCCCTTGGTCCAAGTATTGATGGATCTGTTCAACTTCTGTTGGTTGTTACCAAACGGTTTCATGTTTAGTGTCTTTTAATTTCTAGTCATGCTGGCTTCACCAAATAGTGAAATACATGTATTTTTGCAGCAGGTATTACATTATGTTACTTTGGAACAATGACAGTTACTGTAGATATGCAGCGGATTCGAACCCAGGACCTGGTCAGACCTTGAGATTCTGAGTCAACAACCCTAACCACGTACTGTTTTCTGTAGAATCGGACCCCCTGACGCTGGAGAAGCAGGAGTTGCAGCAGCCTTCGTCCCTGGCGCTGAGCTACATCCACCGTTTCATCACGGACGCCGCGCGCCGAGAGCAGCTCGAGAACCTGAAACGAAAACCGTCGCAGCGAGCGCTTTCCCCGGTCGCAGCCATCAGGAGCATCACTCCTACAGGTAACACCACTTGGTCTGTACGCAACAGATCTGCAGTTTAACATATAGTGTTAGTACGTCGATGAAGGTTAGACATCCAGGTAATACGATATGCCAAAAAGCAGTTACTCAAGCAACTGGATATGATTTTGGAAACGGTCAGACGTTTCAGCTAGTACCCACTAGCTTTCGTCAGTGACTGAGAGACCAGAGGAGAAATGCAGGTCCAAAATCATATCCAGTTGCTTGAGTAACTGCTTTTTGGCGTATAGTGTTAGTACACGTATAGATTATTGCATCATGTCCTTTATGCAAGAAGCGAAAACCTTCGCAGCGAGCGCTGTCCCCGGTCGCAGCTATCAGGAGCATTACTCCTACAGGTACGTACCACAGGAAGGGTATAACAAACAGGAGGAGCCAGTAGAAACAGATAAAAACCCACTGGTCCCGGGACGGGGTTCGAACCCACGACCTCCTGGGCACCAGAGCTTCATAACCAGATGCTCTAACCGCTCGGCTGAAAAGGTCTAGACCCCTCGGACAGGTCAGTTGGTAGCACCTACAAACCCCACATTGTTACAAGGACACCACCTGTCTTTGCGCAGCAGAACTGCAGTTTAACATATAGTGTTAGTACACGTATAGATAATTGTGTCATGCACTTTACGCAAGAAGCGGAAACCTTCGCAGCGAGCGCTGTCACCGGTAGCTGCCATCAGGAGCATCACTCCTACAGGTAACACCACCTGTCTGTGCACAGCAGAACTGCAGTTTAACATATAGTGTCAGCAAAATGAATGAATGAGCAATGCTTTATTGATGTGCAAGAAGCAGAAACGTTCCTAGCGAGCGCTGTCCCCGGTCGCAGCTATCAGGAGCATCACTCCTACAGGTATGTACTGCAGCAAGGGCACCACCTGTCTGTGTGCAAAAGAACTGCAGTTTATTATAATTTAAGTACATGTGTGTCGTCAATATCTGTCACGTGGATGGGAGGGTGTAGCAATGGTGGTCTTGCAGAAGCATTTTAAAACTTAATATCATATACATGTTAAGGCCACACCAATTTAATTTGTTGGTTCTCGGATTTTTTCAGAAAAAATATGAAGCGACAGGGCGAAAAAAAAATAAAAACAGGTCTAGGCATCCTATTATAGGCTTAAATGCTACAAAATGAGCCATGAAGTCAACACAAAAGGCTGGGTTAAAATTTAAACATTGAATTTTGAACTTTTAATCAAACCACTGCAATGATAGATGGGAAAACTGTAGCAACTAGGAAGAAAAGGACTTTCCTCAACTGTTGGGGGGCAAAACATGAGCATTTTTCAGTTGATTCAGGACCAGAATCAAATTTTTTTTTTTTTGCAAATTAGAAAAAAACAAAGAGGCGAATCCGAGAACCAACAAATTAAATTGGTGTGGCCTAATGCTGAAATAAGAGAGTTTCAAATGTTTTGCCTGCTAGCCAGCAATCTTCATCAGTGAAAAGACAAAAAAGTTTACATTCTTATAATAAGGAGCAAGGAGCATTTAGTCAATAACACATTATTCTACAGTAATGAAGTGGACAGAGCGTTCGACGCTCAAGCAAGGAGCCCCAGGTTCGATTCCGGGTCGGAACACAGGGGCATGTCCGAACATGCGCACCGACGTTGTGCCCTTGGGAAAGGCACTTTACACGTATCCCCCCTCAACTAGAGGGTCGAGTCTCCAACGGCAGTTGTCTTCAGCTGGCGGACGAGAGCAGCGCCAGGCGGACCTTGAGCGTAACCAAGTCATCCGGCAGCTCGCTGCAAGCACCCGAACCGGAACCAGCACGTCTCCCTCGATGGATCCGCTGGGGAAGACGGATGCCCAAGTGTGTGGGTCTCAGATTCGCAACCTGTTATCCACCTTAAACAAATCCACGCGAAGGCCGCCGTGTCAACTGTAACCCTCACTCAGGTGTAGGGACTGACACGGTCATCCTACTCGGAAAATCTGTACCTGTATATCTGTTCATGAATCTGTATCAGTGCATGAATATGTATCTGTACATGAATCTGTATCTGATTGCAAATAAAGATATCGAGTGATTGCCATAGCATACAGTAATCTACTAGTCTGAAAAACAGTTAAGTTCTAAATAACAAACTAAACTACATTGTATTACTATGGATACGTTCTCTACATGTTCCAAGATTTAGAAGACTATATTTTATTTACAAGAAGACAAGATTATTTTCTTTGATTAATAAAATTTGTTTGTTTGTTGTGTATACAGGAAGTGAGTTTGATGACGATGACATGTCCAGTGAGTCCTCAGACAGTGACAACTCGTGGACCACCAGCGACGACTTTACATCAGAACTTATCCTCAACTCCATGACTCCCTCCAGTAACGAGGAGAAACCTTTCGCATGTCCCATTCCAGGCTGCAAGAAAAGATACAAGGTATTTAGTTATTCATATTTCAAGATTCACCACACATTGTGGAAGGATGGAAATAGCAGGTTTCATCATTTTAAGATGTCAAACCTGAGACTAAGTAAACCGAAGTAAAGTACCCCTTTTTGCGATACCAGTGAGGAAATCTTTTTCTAGGACACAACAGTGGGGCCTTCCAGGGATTCGAACCTTTAGATCAACAACCCTAACCATAAGATCACACTTTGCCACCTTGTAGCTTTTTTCAATATGCAAATGAAACCTGTATTTATACACTTAGAAACAATTATTGACTTTCATTTACCAGATTTTAAAGAAAAAAACAACAGAGAAGCAACAGAAAAAGCAAAACAATAAGGATTTATAAAACGCTACTCTCACTAGTGCTGTGTCCGGAAAACAAGTTCAGTGCCCTGAAAAAGTATGTCCATGGCTGAAGCTAAGGTGATAATAGATGTGTCTTACAATCTAAAATCCAGCAGTTGAACGGATATTCCAGATGTCTTTAGAATCCATGATGAGAATTCTTAAACCCTTCCTTAAGTCTTTTCCCGCCTTTTTATCACTTTTCAAGCTTAAGGGTTTAGTCCTCTGCTTTCCTGGGCATTCCTGACACATTAGGAGATTGCCAAGGACCGCTTGTTAACAGCCATTTCCATTTTACCTTCTCTTTGTGGCTTGAAAAATGCTTTTAAACTCTTAACTGGTCCTTCTGCTGTTAACTGGAAGTGATATAGTGTCCTTGGCTGATGTGATCATTGAGATAATATGATCTGATAGAGTGCTAAAAGACGTCACTTATGTTCCAAGAACAAGGCAAGACAACAAACAGATTTGTCACCCGCGAAGTGCTCCTGCTTGTTACAAATGACATTCACACCACTGAAAAAAAGTGCAAGACTGCTAACAGTAGAAACTGAAGAAAAGTTGTTACCCGTAGTCCTTGTTTACAAAATAAACCTAACTATTACGACTTAAGTTGCAACTTATGGCAAATGTGCTGTGTACATGGTCATGTCAGCTAAATGTAGCAGCTTTTGTAGTAACTTGTATCCAGTCTTTGATTATATGGGAGTCCCTGACACAAGTAGTCTAGTGAAGGTCGGATTCGGAAACTTAAGGTGAAAATCTTATTTTAAAAATTTTAGAAAGTATTACCTAATATAAAGTCTTTACTTGGTAATGTTTATACTAGTACTTAAATGTATGATTAAAACTTTATAATGTTGTATTCCAGAATGTGAACGGTATCAAATATCACGCCAAGAACGGACACAGAAACGACGGCAAGATCAGGAAAGCGTACCGCTGCCACTGCGGGAAGAGCTACAAAACTACTCAGGGTCTCAAAAATCACACGCTATCCCAGCATCCCCCCATATCGCGCCAGTTGCCGGGGGCAACGCAGGTGGGCCACGCCCTCATGCCCATGCTTCAGCACCCGGAGCTGGCCAACTAGCCGCAGTCAGGGACGGGTACTCTCCAAGCAGAGGTTTGGGTTTGGGGTTATTTTTGGCATGTTTTTAGGCTTTTTTATCGGGGTTTCTCTTTTGCACTGGATTTTTTTCCCCACCAAACGTTGGGTTGAGTGAAAAAAAAATTTCAGTGCAAAAGAGAAACCCTGATAAAAAAGCCTAAAAACACGCCCAACATAACCTCAAACCCAAACCTCTGCTTGAAGAGTAAGGGAAGGGTGGACACTTGGACTCACTCAGGCTACAAACTACAAACCCTTACAAATATTCTTGTACATAAATATCACTTGTCATCCATTCACTGCTGTATTATACTTAGTAAAACAACATTGACAAAGGATTTAAAACTTCTGGGTACTAGGACTGTATTTCTTGATTTTTCATGGTACTTTTATGGTCACTGTTTTCACGGTCCCTTTTGTACGGTGAACTAATCATTACCAATATCAAATCTTTTGTCTTTCTAAGGCCTTTGAACCCATGAATTGCAGTATGCAATGCAATCTTCCTCTTTTATCTGGCTTCCAACCAGATTGTAAGGCCTTTGAACTCTTGTGCTGTCAACCTACCCTGAACAGACAGACAGACAAGCAAAGAAACTCAGCCACCCAAAACAATAGGTCCATGCTCAGAGATGTGCTTAAAGACACAATCACAAACTACCTGACAGTTTAGCAGAATGCCAGTATTATGTATTATAAGTAAGATTCCGGGTTTGTATTTTGAAAGCCTTACTTATAGTGAGCAGAGAGTCCACCTGTTGTTTCCAGAACTGTGCTTTATCCAGAACGGTTCTGGATAGCCTACGCATATCCAGAATCATGCCTGGGAAAAATCCATGTTCTTGGATACAGAGACCATCCAGAACTATCATATCCAGAACTATGTGTCTGGATGGGCAAGGATCAAGATCATACACAGTTCTGGATAGTCTTCACGCATCCAGACTATCCAGAACTGTGCCTGAGCATGATTCGGGATGAAGCGCAGTTCTGGATGCAACACCAGCCAATGTTTCCCGACTGCCATGTGTTTTCCAAGATGTTGCATATTGCTGTGATTCTAGAGAGGACCAAGAATGTGTCATTGTTGCATAGTTTAGTGGTTTGTATCGTGATGATTTTATTATAATTGTACGCCTGTATTTTATGCCCAGATGTATATATATATTCTTGCATAGCGTTGCAAGGTTTTAAAGCTGAGCTGATCATCTTATAGTGATTAGAAACTGTTCATGCTCCTTAATGCGAAGGAGCTTCGTTAAATTGTCTGTAATCAGGACTTAGCCATTAATTGGCTATCTTTCAGAATTACATGTAGACGGGTTGATCTCTTTATAATATGTAAGAGTCTGGTATTTGATACACAATGTGATAATCTGACGTAGAGTTTCCATGGCCAAATTTGTCCTTCCTCTAGCTATCTGGTTGCTACTTCCATACAGCAGATGTGTACATGTATATATGTGTGTGTGTGTGTGTGTGTGTGTGTGTGTGTGTGTGTGTGTGTGTGTCTGTGTGTGTGTGTCTGTGTGTGTGTGTGTGTGCGTGTGTGTGTGTCTGTGTGTGTGTGTGCAGGTATAGTCATGATAGCATGTTGGCAAAATGCACTGCACCTGCGTGAAACTTTTTTTAGATTTTTGATGGATGTTGCAGATGATATCTTTTCTGACACAACATTTGAAAGGTTTAGATGGGATGTCATCCTTAAATATGTGACATGTTTCACGTATGCACAGTACGTTCTACCAATGTGCCATTTATGCTGGATGTTGAATGGTCATGTTATGTGCTATGATATACAAAGTAACTTACATGTGATTAGTACATGTAGCTATGTCTTGCGTGCTCAACATTCCTTGAAAAGAATGGGAAAATTCTTTTTCTTTAATCAATTTTCTCAGCTATCCATGCATTGGAAGTAAGGAGGGGACATAAGAATCAACAAAAGTATTTTTTTTAATGTGAAATTTTAGTTGTTAAAACAGGGTGCTTCTTTAAATGATGGGGAAGGACCAAGTTTGTCTTTTTTTACCTTTGAACTCCAGATACGAGCCACTTATAAGGTACTAGTAATTCATACCTTTCTGGTACATTCGGAGATAAATCTGAGAATTTGCCAATGATTTTAGAGGCTCAAAAACTGATTTTGTTTAACTCCAAGAAAATGTCATTATGACCTTATGCATATTGAGCTCCCTCTTCAACCCATTCTGAATTCTTGCTGTGTAACAAAAGTGTTTTGGTAGCCTGGTTACCAAGCCTACTGGTGTTGTACCTGCTAAGTCACTTTCATCATATTTGTGTAGAGGATGAAAAAGAGTCGGCCACTAGAATAGGTTTGACAACCAGGCTAGTGTCTTTTTTTTCTTTTTACTTAGTGGTCGCCCCGTAACATGGTCGTTAGGCCACTTCAAGGTTGGTTAACCACCTGAATGGTATTACCACTCACCTGGGTTACGGGTTACCGAGTAGAACTGTAACAGCAACTCTTCTCCCTGAGTCTGAAACAGGGAGTCTTGGATGGAAGTTGGTATTTTGATTGTAAAGTTGCAGTCATTTATTCTCAAACTGTAAGAGAATAATTGTTAGTAGTCTCTTTTTCAATGCCAAGAAGTCTGATCTAGGAATTATGAAGGTGCTTTTTAAAACATTCTACTGTGTAGAAGGGACAAACTCCATGAAAGAGCTGCTTTGTTTTGATGTCTGTCATACTTGTCTTTCAGAGTCTACTAACACATTGTTACAAAAGTGCCATATGACACCCCTCTAATTTGCTTTGGTTTGAACCATACATGTGTGATCAGCACTTAAAGAACATACCATGATGTATTTGGGGGGGTGTAAGCACTCTTTACTGGTTTAAATGAAGGTATTCTATAAATGAACGTCATATTTTTGGAGATGTGGGAAGAAATACCAATCATAACTAACAAACATAAATGAACACCAAAATATGTAAAAGAATATAACTTCACCACTAAAAATTAATTTGACAACAAATTTAACTGAGATTTGTGCCCCTTCCACATGCCTCCCTATACCTATATAATTAAATTGCCTTGGTGAAACAAATCAAGATGACATACATACAGTGATATGCTGATGTAAGCATAGTGTATGTTATGATGTCGGTATAGTTTGTGTAATGTTTTTTTTTTTGCGGGTTATTGAGAAAGCAGATTTTGGAGCTGTGACATTTGTACATGTAGCATTTCGTGAGGCATTCTAAAATTCTAAAATCTAATGATGATGATGATGATTATATGGCATTTATAATGTGTTTGTTATGTGATGGAAGGTTTTGAAACTGGTCAATGTGAAAGATTATGTATGTGTAAAATCTGAGATCAAAATGTGTTTGATGGTTGATTTTTTAGGCTAGATCAGTATATTATTTGATTAACAAATTGGTTTTTAGCAAAGTCAATAACGTTTTTAAAAATTTAGTTGTCATCTTTTAACGTAGGACTATAGAAATCACTTCAAAGGTTATATCATAGCCTTATAAGATTGGTCAATGGCAAATGAGGGTTATGTCTTCTTTTTACTGTTTCTAGCGTTAGAAAAATTTTGTTACACTAAATGGTATGATGGTCTGGTCTATTTGAAGTGATGTGAAGACTGAAAAGTGTATCCAGAACCATGCTTTATCCAAAACTATGTTCAGGCACGGTTCTGGATAGTCCACGCATATCCAGAACCGTGCCTGGGGCCAAATCTACATTCTTGGATATGCGGAGACTATCCAGAACCTGTTCCTAACCCATTCAGGCATAGAATAAGATAGGCACTGGTTCTGGATAGGTTCTGGGTACAATAGTGTTGTATGTGTCTGTAACATAGCTACTGTTAAAATCTCTTGAACATAGAGTGGCAAGAGAAGTCTGAACTGATATGTTGGTGCTGACAAGAAAAGACACTATGATGAACTGTGCTGTATCAGGTAGTGGCTATGTATAAGTACAGTATGTAAAGAAGCATGATGTGTTGAACTAAATGGTGTTCGTCTGTATTTTCTTTGTATTGGAAGAAACATTTATAACTAGAAAGGTAACATTTGAAAAGCAAACCCATAATGTTTACCTTTGCATGGTCAAGTCTATTAGAAAGTATTCTTACTCAAATCAGGGAGCTTGCTCAAACAGACTCATATACTACATGTATTGTGACCAGCCCTTCTAATTCTGACCTGCCACTTGCTACATAATGTAACCCAACACCACAACATCGCACACACAAAGGAAGCTGTTTGGTTGAACTAAGAACGTCATATAGTACGTCCTTGGTTGAACAATTGTTCATTCAACAAATCAGTCTTCAGGCCGCTTTTCTTTGATGTCATGTGGGAGGTTAGATCAAAGGAATACAGTAGGGAAACAACAAAGGTCTGTAAAAAGATGGGCTGGATTAGAGAAGAGAAACTGGCGTATCTAACTTAAAGGCACCCAATGCAATTTCAGGGCAGCAAAACTGGAAATATTCTGAATAAGGCAACCTGTATGATATCAACACATACTTGTGCTTCGGGTGTTTCAAACAGCACAGACACAAGCCCCGATGTTGGGTCTTTTATTTTCTAAATGGTACCCCAAAAATCAGCTCAGAATCCTACCAGTAACCGTTTTCCTTCACAGTTTTTGGAATTTTTGTTCCATGAATGTCAATATACATTGGGATGGTGTTTACTTTAACTTAGTAACTATGTAGATACGTGACTGGGATATGGACTTCGAAAAATCTGGTGTTCAATCCCTAAAAAAGTGCACTGGGACCGACAATGAAGAAAACAGTTAGTACTCAAATCACAGGAAGAAAATCTACCAGGTCTGACGTCTTGCGCCGAAAACGTTTCATTCAAGTACATGTTTGTACTATAGTAATCTCTGAGCTAGTCTCACACTTAGCATCCATAGCATGCCTAAAACTAGGGCTCTTCAGGGTCTTTGGGATCTTTTATGTGCTATTTTCTGATTGTATATAGACAACATAGCCGGCCTGATTGAATTACCCCCGTTTTATCAGAAAACAGCCGAAGACCGGCCACCAAACCCCCAGTTCTATAAGCCTGCTACAGAGGCTATCTCACACGTAGGTTTGCAATTGTGGGAACAAAAGACCGGAGGACCTTTATCCAACCACTGAGGGATCAAAGCAACGTTTACAACTCTTTGTACTAAACGCCTCAGCGTCATGTAGAGGGAGGGCGAGTCGTGTGTTATTTGATTAGTGAAGCCTCCTACAGCTGCGTACACTAGCCTCTACCAGGCTTCTGACGCGAAGGAAAGGTTGGAGATTTACTCTTCAAGCAGAGGTTTAGGCTTCCGCTTAATTTGACGTGTTTTAGACATTTTTATCGGGGTATCTTTTTTTCTGGTATCTTTTTTTTACGTGGTATTAAAATGGTACCTACCTGGCAAATGGATACTACCTGCTCAATTTGTTACTGACTTTGATACAGCCACCAAAACTGCTTGGACATTAGCAAAAATTGGTCAAGTAGACAGATGGCATGTTGTCTGACTATTTGACCAGTGGTTCCTCTTTCCAGTCGCTTCTGAAGCCTGGTAGAAACGGCAAACTGTACTCCTTTAGCGGAGCAAATCCCCTGGCACGTTATCTATCTATTTGGCCAATTTCTACTCTTTCCAGCCACCTCTGAAGTCTGATAGAGGCTATAAACTGTACTCTTTTAGCGGACTACCTCCCCTATTTGGCCAATGGCTACTCTTTCCAGCCTCCGAAGCCTTTTCGAGGCTAGCGTACGCGTGGTTTTAGTGTGATGCGATGTGAAGAGACCACGTACGGTCCTCCCGTGGGTGTTAAGATTAACATCCTGGGACACCTGAGGACAGAACCGTCCACTTTTCCAGCAGGTGTGAGCCTAGGGATCTTTCAAACTTCTTCAGACAGCTCATTATCGTGTGATACACACATACATGTTGCTATGTCACATTCTTAAACTGTAGCAAGACCGTATATTTTGTGATACTTTTTCATTGCGTTCCTCATTGCAAGTATTATATATTGATATCCATTCATCGTTTTGAACTATTACCTAAGTCCCCAGCCCACTCAAATAAAAAGCCCCGACTAAACTAAGCAATAAGCAATAACACCCCTCCACCACCCCCATTACTCCCCTATAATGGAATGAGCCTGAGTAGTTGTATTAATACGCCTGCGGCCGCTGCCTGGAACCTGTCGGTATCCACGTGCCGGAGCCAACAGCATAAAATCGACACGATGACAACACGGGGTAAGTTCTAGTAAATTGTTGCTCCTTTTCCCTAGACACTTGTAGCCTAGCCTCCGTAGCAGGCTTATAGAACTGGGGGTTTGGTGGTCTTCGGCTGTTTTCTGATCAGCCAAACGTGGGTAATTCAACCAGGCCGGCTATGTTGTCTATATGCAATCAGAACATAGCACACAAAAGATCATGAAGACCCCCCCAAAACCCCCAGTTTTTGGTATGCTATGGAGGCTACTTGTAGCCTTCTTTCTGGAATATAGTCAATGAGGTAATAAAACTTTAGAATTCGTATTGTACTGACATGTTGCACTAGAGTGCTGCTTTTCCTAAAACACTGTCATCTTGGTCTTCTTCAATCTGCATATGAATTCACCCAAAACACTACAATCCGTATTTTATTTGCATGGATGGTATTTTGTGCGATACCTTTCCTTCTGATGCCAGTCATTGCACCTGCTGCCTCTCCGTGGCTTTTCTTCTGAGTAAGAAGTGCAAAGACGTGAGCCCCTGTCGTATCCAGAACCGTGCCTATCTACTTCTATGCCTGAATGGGGTAGGATCAGGCACGGTTCTGGATAGTCTCCGCGTGTCCAAGAAGGCAGATTTGCCCCAGGCATGGATTTTGGACACGCGTGGACTATCCAGAACCGTGCCTGAGCATGGTTCTGGATGATGCACGGTTCTGCTGGATACAACAGTCATAGCTCGGTGGCCAAACCTAAACAAGGTCAGGTTGTTGGTGGCAAGGGTATAAGCGCAGTAATTGGACGATGATTAAGTTTTTTGCCGCTTCAAAGCTTCAGCAGATTGGGCCATGATTGGGAGCTAACGTCCCATCTGGGAGCGCCATTAGATGAGGAGGTCCTAAAGCCTCTGATTTCATGAGTTCTAAGTGCCATTGGTCTATAGACTGTGCATCTGTTGATTTACTTGCATTTAAAGCGATATTATGCAAGATTTTAACTATTCTAAGCATCGTTTAACATAAGGGATAAGCAAATCTGCACTCTCTGTTCAGTTCAGTTCAGGTCATCCTCTTTTGAGTCCTCTTTTGTACTCTCTGTAACGATAAATATATAGAAGATGAAGGACATTATGTTTTAGAATGCTCACTATCGGTTACTACTATTAGTTCCCTACAATTAGAACAGAAATATGCGCACACAAAGTGATAGACAGCCTGCTTAAAACACAAACTGAGATGACAGTATGTTCAGAGACGAAAGAGCCTCCTAGAAGTCTGGCAGCCTGATATGTTAGATGTGACAGATGTCACCATACCGCTGGAAAATTACTATAAGTACATCTGTTCAACGGAGATTTCTGCAATTTTCCCTCTAAACACCAATCAAGCTTAGTTATGAGAGCGAGGGAAGGGTGGATTTTACTGATCAGGACTTTCGGTTCCTCTGTCGCCAATTGCAACTCAAGAATCCTCCGTTCAATCAATATTTGTCACAAAGTTTTCTGATTTGAACTTAACCCGAATTGATTTGAATGAACTAAATGGCTCGCTGCACCGTTCTGGTCTAATACTAGTCAGAAGAAGGCATAAATATTGGACTTGTTTGTCTACCGCATGAGATTTAACGCAAGGCTGGAATTCCCTTATGTATCCTTTAGACGAGGTGGATTATGTTCGGAAGTGTATTTCGATCTATAGCGATATATCTGCATAACCAGGCAGGAGGTGGGAGTCTTGGGACATGTATGTTTGATGATTTTTTACAGCCATCGTTCGGGTGAAACATGTTTGGGAATGAATTTGTTTTGGTCTTCCACACAAATTAGTAGAAAGCTAGCATATGGAATCTGCCTCAGCTGCAAATGTTCCTTTCTTTTGAAACTTTAGAGGTCCGACAAGCCAAGGGCCGGCAAATGTTTTTGCACTTTGAACTGACGTTTGCATTACTTCTGTAACTATATACCTTCATGACCTCAATGAAAAACAGCCTGTAGGCCGATTTGAACTTCTAATGAAAAAACAAACTTTCAAACAAACTGAAATGTTCAAACAAAAAACTTTGTACGTTTGTGGGTAACAGGTGGTCTGTTTATATGAAATACACAGACATACTCAGGTATCAAAGAAATAAAGTTATTTTGAAAGTTCGATACTTTGACATCCAACTAATTGCAAATCCAGCCACTCTTGAGAGAGTCAGTGGATGATGTAGATTTTACAACCACAAATGCGCTCAAATCCACCCATATCGATTTAACACGACTTTCGCCATTGCGTATCATTTTACCATTGACGTAGATGTGAAAACGTTTGATTACTAATAGAATAGCCTTGGTATATTACCACAAATGTCCCTATTTAAGCTACCCACGTTACCGGATCCTAATCCCACCACTTATGGTGAGGCCACAGTGCTATTTTATTACTGCGATCTGTTCTCTTTCTACGTAGGGCCTTATATAATTACGTCTAAAAGATTTAGCCAGGTTACCAAAACTTATTTTAGCTCTTTCATCCTCTTCACTATTTGTTTTGGTAACCAGGTTGTAAAAGAGTCTGGTGTGTTCTTGGAAACATTTTTAACCAGTTGCCAGTGAGGGAGATTCTACGTAGGGCTTTATATAATTACTTTGTAAGGCTTTGTATATTTGTAAAAGATTAAGTCAGGTTACCAAAAGTTATTTTAGCTACCGAGTCTCTTTCATCCTCTTCACTATTTGTTTTGGTGACCAGGTTGTAAAAGAGTCTGGTGTGTTCTTGGAAACATCTTTAACGAGTTGCCAGTGGGGGAGATTCGTGGTGGTCTTAAGTGGAAATCCTTCGCTGCAAGGCAATGGAGCAAAAGGAAGATACATTTATCACATAGCAATCTTTATCAAAAACGCAAGCTCGGCGGATTTCACTAAATCCTCTACAACTATCCCTGGACGTAAACAAAGAGGATACAAATAAACCTATACATAGCTACATATAAGTCATGGAATAATCAGCATGCTGAGTCAAACGTATGGATTACACTTTAAGTTCAAAACATACTAACAAGCTGTACTTATAGGTCATGACTTATGGACGATTTACAAAAGTACGGCGGCTTTCATGCGGTCTTATGAAAATATACTTTCACATAATAAACAAATGAAGCTACATATTAGTAACGGATAAAGCAAAACGTTGAGTTAACGGTATCAATTACACTTGTAATTCTAATCTTGAAACTTTACTAAAGAACAAAAAGTGTAAAAGAACATCAACAAAATCCCAGCGGATTTCGTACAGTCGTCTACATGTAAACAAGAGGATACAAATGAACCTATAAATAGCTACATATACGTAGTGGATAAGTCAACATGTTGGGTCAAACGCATAGTGTTTTGAAGGTCTAATCATACAAAAAATATGAAAGTATTTACCGATTTTTAATGGCCGATTTACTAAAGTACAGATAGGCTTTTGTAAGGTGTTTTGAGAATATACCAGGTCCTACAAGTAATAAACAAGTAAAATCTGAGATTTTATACCTCCGGGCTTTTTATTGTATATTTTTATATGTTGTTTGTTATGTATTGTTGATGGTGTTGAATTTTGTGCACAACAACAATTGTTGCGCGCTGCAGGACTAGGGTTTAAACAAAGAATTTATCGAGACCAGACACCCCTCTGTACGAGGGGTCATATACGTGGACCAGACCGAGAATATTTTAAACACGCGAAAGGTCAACGGTCGCGACCATTTTCACGCTCAAGGGGGTGTTCTGGGGCCACCAAAAGGCACCATTTTCACGCCCGAAAACACATATACAATAAAAACAAAAGAACGTGCATCATCTACAGCCCAATAGCAAAACATACACCGAGTCCCCAAAAAATCCGTCCACCCAAACGCGAGAAACAGCTGCGAACATGAAAATCTAAATCTCTCACAAAACCCTTCCGCGGAAGGATGTCTCCTCCCCCGGAGGTAACAAGTAGATACAAATGAACCTACATATAAGTAACGGATAAAGCAAAAAGTTGAGTTAACTATATCGTTTACACTAGTGGTTCTAAGGTTTAAAACTTTACTAAAGAATAAAAGTATAAAAGAACTTAGTGAACTTTTTCGCATCAATAGACACCTGAGGTCAGGCTAACCATTTTACATTACTCGTTTTAGCCTGGAATCAGCCAGAATATTTAATGACATCGCAGACACTATATGCAAAGATACTGACTGCCGAAACTCTGTTCTTCTGTTTGTAGTTTGAGCCACACTCTCGCACTTAGAAATATCTCCTAGTCTTCTGTTCTTAACACATGGCCCTCGTCCTTGAACAAAGTACATGATTCCATGGACTGCAGCATGGTTTTCGATTCTCACATCAATTTAGGTTGTATGACGTTAGACTTTTGCCGCAAACCGTCCCTAAATTGAAGTAATAACAATAACGCGTCGTAGTAACGCCATAAAATTTTATAGCCGGTTCCTAGGGCCATTCGGCATACTAGATGATTGTACTTAGCCCTAGGAAAAATGTTGTGTTTCCTGTTTCAGTCCTGAGTAAATTGGAGTCGGTAGGTAGGGATTATCTTTTTTCTTCTTCTTCTTTTTTTAGACTCTGGCAATCTCTATATACTGACCCAACTTGTGCAATACAGCTTAACAGAGTAGAACTTACATCAGGACACTTATAGTTTCAATGTCAATGTTGGAAAAATGATTGTACAACGTTTCATCACTCCGGTGTCAGATCATGGAGCTAGAAAAGTCGATCAGCTAAACACTTCAAGTCCACTAAAAAAAGGCCGGGGTTGGCTGTTTTTCTAGGGTCGGTCGGGAAACAGGAAACACAACATTTTTTCCTAGGCCTTACAGACATAATCTCCAAGCAGATCCCTCTCGGTGGCAAAAAGACAGTATCAAATTAGCCAGGCAGTATCCATTAGCCAGAGAAGGTCGGCAGCCACCGACGTTGGTGGGGGTAGCGACAGAAAAAAACGGCCATATATATGAAAAGGTAACGATCATTCCCCCACAACCTCTGCTTGGAGAGTATTACAGACAGACGACCGCAGATCAGTATGGATGGACTTAGCGGCAGTTTTACGCCCACAAGCCACCATTACCTATAGAACTGCCGAGGCAAAACATCATCGCGTAGCCATTAAATCTAGCCAAGTCAACATTGCCTTGGATGAACTATTGAATACGCCTAGTAGGTCCACTGGTCATTTGGATTGCAAGGAGCTTGTTACGTCATCCACTAATGCTTTGTCTGATGTCAGAAGGGGAGCTTTAGCAACACTGATATCCTTGATAAAAGTACGTAATCTTTAATGCGGTACTAGTATGATATTTGTGATCATAACGAAAGTTAGAGACTTAATCATCATGAAATTTAGATTGTCATTTATGTTGTAGACACTATTAGTAGTTGTGTATTAGTGTGTATTTATAAAATAAAAAAGAAAAGTTTGACTTGGAATATGCCTACATATAAATTTCATTTTCTTACATTTCATGAGTTTTGCTACTATATGGTTTAATTTATCTTACTTTGTTACTCTTGTGCGTTGCTTGTCTGTAATGTCATTTGTTTTGATGACGACATTAGCACAAGCTTAGAGCTTGAGTGTGTTGTAGCGTTTTAGCTACAATCGGCATCACGTCTTGCCACTAAATGTCGTGATGATTTAGAAAAACCAAACAAAACTGTTTGTTGTCGTTTGACAGATGATGAACACTTACTGAAGTTGTGTTTCTCAGAACGCCCTTTTTACTCTTTTATCTCAAGAGATACGATCAGAGTGTGGCGTACTTTCTTCACCGGCCCACAGGAGAACTATGCACCCGTAGGAACACCATATAGCACATGGCTATTACAACCACTTACTTACTTTACTTTACTACCAGTAGTCGTGTAATGTGGTCACTAATTGCTTATTATGACCGCCCTGGGTAAGTCCCAAACAGATCCAAACAAAAACGCTAAAACAGTATAAAGTTCTCTAATGTCTGTGATTTATAAAAGTAATCTTCTTGCCGATACTTATGATGACAATGGTCTTTATTGCATATTCACGCCATACATGGGCCAAATACACTAGATTATATACTAGTAACTGAGGTATAAGTTAGGGTAGGAGGAACAAGTGCTACAATACTGTGCTACGTCTATATCTACAAGTGTTGATTTTCTTCTTACTTAACCTTATAGATATGAAGTGGACTTTTACTCCGTAACGTATAGTGTGTAGTTTTTATAGTGTCTCTTTATTTGTATTTAGGACGTAATTCGGGCAAACCATGGGAGTTCCTTTCTCAGTAAACTTGAATCCTACGGCGGCAAGGCAGTATCCATTAGCCAAGTAGTGACAATTAGCCACTGAAGCTATGGACACTCCTTGGCTAATGGATACTGTCTTGCCACCGTAGAATCTGCTTGGAGATTAGTCCAGGCACCACAGCGTCGCCACAGCGGCAAAATTGTCGTCTGATTCTCCCTTGTGAGGCAACAGAAGATTGCTGCTTTCTCTGGTCTGCCTCAGGTACATTTAGTGTTTGTGTTGATGGTTTCTAAGATCTGTTTCCCTTGCCGCATCTAAGCAGCTACAAGACAGTGCACTAATGGAGTCCAGGCGCGGGTGTGAGCTTGATTGATTGTTGTAAGACTAAAACATTTATTATCAACTTTTATTTTCTGTGTAGTGTTTGTATGAAACATGTTGCAGTCAAAAACACCAGATGAAAATATTTTGATGTAGAATATCATCGCAAATCTTGATTTTTCTTCCCTTACTCTTCGCGAAGTTGAAGATTTCTAAACATTTGTTAATATCGATTTGTGTGTTCATTGTTGACATTTTAATTTATATTATATGTCTTTTTAAATGTATTCACTGTATTTTTCATGTACGTAATTATGTATTTTTAATGTTTGAGCCTTGCAGGGTTAAAAGGCTTCGAAATAAATGAAATGAAACACTGAAATCTGCTAAAATTCCGTGAGTTCGTCAATGTGGTCTCGTGAACACAATCTTGTCTCCTGTATATCCGTTACCATATAACTTGTCTGGTACACAGGTGCACTTATCCTCGCAAAATTGGAGTGACTGTCGCTCCCTTTGGAGTGATCATCATGGTGTTACTGCGATATGGTTATTACATCACAATATTACACAAGTGATTGGACACTCATGATGCCCCAAACAGCATGATTGAACTCACTGCACTGGTCTGTTAAGCCTATATAGGAGAGGTTTACCGGTAATGCGAAACAAACACACATACAAACAAACTTTTGTGGGGTCGTGTGGCGTATCGGCAGAGTGCTCGGCTCGGAATCAAGAGGTCCTGAGTTCGAGTCCTGACATGCCACCGATCTTGTGCCCTTGGGAAAGGCACTTTACACGACTTTCCTCACTTCGCTCAGGTGAAAATGAGTATTGTATTGTCCCCTGTGTTGGTGGCAGCATTAATATAAGTTAATAAAACTTGAGTGTGCCGTCACCACGTCTTGTGATTAGATGTTGGAATATATATAAACAAACTTCCCATGTGTCCCCAGATTGGTGCCTGTCCGTCCTGACCCTGATGGTGATAATGGACGCCTTTGGTCAGCAGTGCGTCGGTCGGCTCTACGCCGGTCAGCTGATTCGCGTGGGGAAATCTGGAGTATGGAAGCGGCCGGCGAGAAGGCCACCGTTTAGGTAAAAAAAGCCTTATTTCTTACCATATCCTAGTGGACGTGTTTGGGTCATGCTCACACAAATATACGTCTTGAGTAGTTAACAATATATATAACTGGATGGAGACAATTCTACCGGTAGATATCCTGATTGGAGTCTTTTGTCAAAAGGATGCCTGGAATGTGTTAGGGTGTTTTCCCTTTTACAATTCCTAAATTTCAAATCAGTCCATGGATCTAAAGTAACTTGAATCGAATTTGCTAAAGTCTGATCCCGATCGGAGTCTCAGAACGGGATTTCTGATTCTACCAGATCGGAGTCTCCACTCTGACATATACATATACACGTGCATCTGCCTTCAATCCCTTAAATTTTCTTACTAACAGGATCATGTTCTCTGTAGGGCTTCACTAGCCTCTACCAGGCTTGGGGAGGCAGCTGGAAAGAGTAGAAATCGGCCAAATAGAGAGATAAGCACGGGGTGCGGCGAACTGTTCTCTCAACGGACAAACTCCCTTGGCATGCTTATCTCTCTATTTGACCGATTTCTACTCTTTCCAGCCGCCTCCCCAAGCCCGGTAGAGGCTAGGGCTACACATTGAATTCTTCGTCTCCTAACCGACACGTTTCTACCAGCAGGACGTACGACATAGACACTGACGGGAGACTGTCGGCTGCCGAGTGGCGCCGCGTGGAGGACATGTTATCAGGGTTGTCTGCTGCAGAGATCTTCTCTCTTCTGGACCGGAACGGTGAGCGCAAACTCATGTTCCGCAGCACACGAAATGTTGCCTCTCTATCCCTCTTTTACAGATATTTTCATGGTCATTGCTCTGCAGAACTCACCCAACTAGTTCCACCACTCAGAACTATTAAGCGTTCCACTAGGTTCTCCACTAGCTCACACAACTTCACCATCCAAATTCCTTGTTCGAAATCTTTTTACAGTGACAGTTTCTTCCCCGTACGGCCATATTTCTAGTTCAATGCCGAGAAGTGATCGTATAGGCCTTGCATTGAACCACTCCGTTAAAAAAAAGCTCAGGGTACTTGGAACAACCTCTGGCTGTCTTTCCGCCATCTTCTGCTATTTTACCTCGTGCCCTACTGTTGCCCTGGCAAATGTTACCTTTCTAGTTGCATTTTTTTAAGAACATTTTGTTGATACTTGGCATATTTCCGTTCCAGATGACGGTTGGCTGAACAAGTCCGAGTTCAACAACTGGAAACAACGTCTTGGCATCAAGAACGGGAAGACGGCCTGGCCACTGGTACACAAACGCCTGATTGGAGCTTAGAATGACAGATCTAGTCTCCACCAGACCCCTTTGCAGGCTGAATAAATAGCAGAAATCATTCAAATGGTTTATTTTCAACCGACTTCGCAGCACCAGGCTTAATTTCGTCAATTGTAACATTCATTCAAAAACATTATACATCAATTATAAAATCGTTAATGGTTAACAAAAGATAATAAAATCGGTACATTGAAAAGAGCGTCTTACTTTAAAAACGTAAGGTGTACAAATGCAATAATGAAGTCCTGACGTGACATAAAAGGTAACGTTTGTCGGCCATATACAGGCAAACTGGACCCTCTATAGCCGGCTAACTTCCCTGGCCAGCTACATTCTTTTTAGACCGATTTCTACTATTTATTCAGCCTGTAAAGGAGTCTGGTGGAGACTATGACAGATCAACCTGCACTATTAACTCATGATTCTGAACAAGACACTGGATGGACACTAGCCTTAGAAACCCTGCCATACACGTACATGTATATTCACCACGGAAAAACAGTAAACAGAATAATGATAATGACAATAGGTAAACGTATTTTGAAATAGCATGCAATGAACGCTGGTTTTGTGACGTCTTTTTCTGCAAACATATTTTCAGGAGCTACAGATTTAAAAAAACTACATGTGTTCTTCAAAAAGGTTTAAAGCCCAGGATCACTATTTATAAATATACGATATGTTCTCTTGATTCATACGGCAGCGTCCCAATGGTTTGGAACCTTCTCACTAATATTCAGTGCGTGTGCTGACTGAAACCATTTACATGTACATTGCTGTAACAAATCAAATCAAATCAAATCAAATTTTATTCGGTAAGGCTCTCGCGTGCAAATACTCGAATTTCGTCCTTATTACATAGTACATAGAGCATTAAAAACAATGATTTGTGAAACAATGTAACCTAACATCATCATCAGTCGACCGTATTGGTCGGAGTTGTAACCTAACCTAATAGTAATGTTATATCTTAGAGGGGATCCATTCCTCAAGCTAACCGACATCTCGCACACGACAGTGTGTCAGGCTGAATAAAAGTTCTAAACGGGAACTACAAGTATGCGGCTCCAGGTGTCTTACTGAGGGACGACTGTGTGTGCGAGATGTTGGTTAGCTTGAGGAATGAATCCCCTCTACTATATACTAACAGTAATGGTTAAGTGCATTTAATGACATCATGTATGATGGGAGCACCAAGGGCTAAGTATAGATCTGACTACAATATCGCGTACTCATGACCCCATATATATGCTATTAAACAAAGAAGTTGATCCCATTATTAATCGTGCCACTGGAATGTATTATACATACACAAAAAGATCTGGATAATGACACAAGTTTTTCTTGACATTATTTGGACATTTTGTTACTTTGTCTTGTATTTTCGTGGCTTTTATGTCGTCAAATGATCAGTACAACTACGTTTATAGTCACATATCCTCACCTGTGCATCCTCGAAGTATCCTCAAAGTACATGCCGAAATATTGTGTATGTTGATGTGTCATCAGGTGGTTTGACGGCCATTTTGTCTGTATTGGCCTTTAACCTATGACCTATGCCCCTCAAAACAAACTACTTCTGACGACTGATGGCCATGTCACTGTCACAATGTTCTGTACGAAGGGTTTGTAGGAATCAACCGCATGTTTAAAGGTAATATTCTACTGTTTTCATTATCCATGCACTAGATCTAGAGTTTCACTGAGTTCCTTAGGCATTCGGCAAAAGATGTTTAAACCTTTACGACTGACCAATTATTAAACTGGTTCTCATTGATTACTGAGCTGCGGCAAGCAAGGTTCTCATTTACATAAGTTGATCGTCTCTGCCACACAATAGTTGTCCAACGACAGTGCTAACTTATAAAGAATGCTATTCTAGCATTCCCTGATCAGTTATTAATACTACCTATTAGTATTACAATCCTCCGCCCGGAACCCGGAATTTCCACTACAGTATCTTTTAAAGTCGCTAGGGGCCCCCAAAGTTAATCATATCATTTTGTGGTCTTGTTCATTTCAAGATTCATTCCCACGTACCAAATATTAAGACAATCCATCTATAAAGCCTTCTTGAGTTATCGTATTCACACCATGACACCGTGACACACACGAACTCTACCAGAAAGGCTAAAGCCTCCATAGCAGGCTTATAGAACTGGGGGTTTGGTGGTCTTCGGCTGTTTTATGATTAGCCCAGCTCTAAAAAAAACGGGCGTAATTCAACCAGGCCGGCTATGTTGTCTATATGCAATCAGAAAATAGCACATAGAATATCCCAAAGACCATGAAGACCCCCCAAACCCTCAGTTTTTGGCATGCTATGGAGGCTAACCTTCTTGGCGATGGAAATAAAGTAAGGTTTAAATAGCACTGCTGCTCAACAAACGACGCAGACGACAATGATGACCACAACACTCTTCACGAAGTTTTAAACTTTTTTTAATGCCTTTTTTCAAGTTTTCAATTCCCGGTGTTGCAACATAAGATGTACCGACTTTGTCGCACTCTGGTTGACACCGTACTGAGGTGGGTCTACTGTGACCGCTACCTTATCTTGACCACTTGTCTGAGTGACAAAAGTGAAAGTCACTTTCACTTGTCTGACCTATGTGACTGTCTTTGGTCTTGGCTCCTTGGCCTGAGTTTTTCTGAATCGTTTATCCTGGTAAGATCCAGTCATCAGAAGGACTGTTAGCATTTATTCCTAATTCCTGGGGCTGAGCCGGTTGACCTAAACGTATCGCAACAACAACACTGCTGTCACTGGGGCCTCTGTAAGTAACAGAGGCATAACCTCGTGTTATCCTGACATCTATAGCCTCTACCAGGCACCGCGGATCGCTGGAAAAATAGTAGAAATTGGCCGAAATATAGGGATAGTATACCACAGAAGATCCCGGGCCATAGAAGATCTAATTCGCGACCCACTCTATGGCCCGGAATCTTCTCTGGTATGCTATCCCTTTATTTCGGCCAATTTCTACTATTTTTCCAGCGATCCGCGGTGCCTGGTAGAGGCTAGACAGCTATACTGTTGTTTATCTCGTGTTTCTAACGACCGTCGACGTTTTACGGCGATTTTCGGAAATATCAGTCCGCCGTGCCGCCGTCCCAGGTCGCCTTCGAGTACGTTTCGGGTGAACGTCGAGCTTTCACCGAGTCCTCAAATTTTTGGATAAGATATAAGTCGTCATCGGCAATACTTTTCCCAGATTTTACGTTTGTCCTTTTCTCGATGGCTTCTCCTGCCTTACTGTTGTTACGAAGACCTGGACTAGGCTGTGCGGGTTCTGATGTAGCCGCATTAGACTGACGTACACGAATGGTGCCTTTGGAGCCAGGTGGACTCCAATGCCCTTCAATACGTTCCTGATTTTCGCTTTGTCGTATGCCTCCACGAGGCCGCCCATTGCGTGGGATGTCGCCTTCTATGGCCGATAGCTTGATCTGATCCGTGTTTCCTGCACTAATGATCCTTCTGGGACTGTACGCGCGTTTATAGGACGAGGGGGCGGCATGATCACCGCTGGGAATCTGCTTGAGACGTCTTCCATGCGTAGGTAGCGTCATCGCCCACCTGCCCCCACGAATGCGCTGGTTCTGCCCACTGTTATTCAAGGGTGGTGCGTGGACGTGAGCGACGATGTTGGCATCGGGAATCGCCATTGCTTCGTGTGCTTGCGCTCTTTTCCCCAGCCGTAGAACGTTGCCGTACAGCCCTCTCTTCTGAGCCCCTAGACTGCCTTTGCCGTCAGATGGGTAAAGTATGGTCGGCCTCCTCTTGCCTAGTCGGATGACAGAACGCCGCTTGCCTAGTGGAATGATAGGCCTCCTCTTGCCCAATCGGATGACGGGCCGCCTCTTGCCTAGTCGTATGACGGGCCGCATGTCCTTTGATTTCAGTCCGAAGATGCCGCGCTTGGTACGTCGTTTGCCGTAAGCTTGGCCATCATGAGTCGTGGCGACCCAAGAAGGTTTTAAACCCTTGTGAATACCTTCAGGGCTGATGAGTACCGGAAGCATTGACTTCTGTGGGTCCTGGGCACCTTCTGACATGTTCTCGATATTCATTGGTGCTGGGGAGACTATTTCCCTGGTTAGTACTGGAAACATTTGCTTAACCCCATCTGGGGTCTGGACCGTGTTGTCGTTATTCAACGGCGTTATTGATCGACGTTCCCTGTGCGCTGTTGGGACATCACAACTCGAACTGTTCTCTGAGTTGAGGCAGGCTGGGGACACTAGTTTCCGGGGAGGGAAATGTACCGGTTGGTTGTCCTCACCTCCTCGGCCTAGAAGAATCAACCGCCCCCTCGGAGGTTTTCTACCAATACTCCTGCGACTGATTCTTATGACCTGACTTAAGGTTGTTGGATCTGACGTCGTCATTGGACTGACCTGGCTTTCTGGTTTCGTCGGATGTGGAACGCTGTGATGGTGAATACTGGAGATCTGGTGAAAGTTGTTTCCTTTTCCAAACCGCATGAAGCTCCGATTGTCTCTATTGCTGCCTCCTCCTCCGAAGCGAGTGGAAGAGTCGTCCCCGATTCCACCGTCTGACCGTTTTCCAAAACGACTGGAGAAGTAGTCAGTGTTCTTGCCGTCATCCCGTTTCCAGAAACGACTTGTGAAGTCATGCTCATCCCAATTACTGCTTCGTTTCTCCAACCGACTAGAGGCCAGGTCACCGACACCAATGTGGTTGTTCTGTTTCTGAAAACGGTTTGATGAGTCCTCTTCACCCCAACTAATGTCGCGTCGTTTTCCGAACCGGCTTGAAAACAGGTTGCCTCGTTTGCCGAAACGGCTAGTAAAGTCGCGTTTGTCCCAACTATTGCTTCGCTTTCCAATCTGACTCTTAAATTTATCTTCGTTTACACCGTTATTGTGTACCGCGAAACGACGTGTAAAGTCGTCCGCGTTTCTCTTCCCGAACCGGCTTGCAAAACGGTCGAAGTCCCCATGGTTGTCTCGTTTCCCGAAACGGGTGGTAAAGTCGTACTTGTCTCCATTCAACCCTCGTTTTCCAAAACGACTGGTAAACTTATCATTGTCTTCACGGTTGTTCCGTTTGCCTAAAGGGCTCGTGAAGTCATCTTTGTCCCGGATGAGGCACCGTTTCCCAAACCGGCTCACAAAACGCCACGAATACCGCTTCCACTTCCAAGCGGGTTGGGAGAATTTTCTCGAACCATCTCTTTTTCCCAAACGAATTACAAAACTACGTTTTTGGAGAGGGATGTTCGAATTAGGGGGCAGGCCTCTCTTTCCAAATCGACTAACAAATGCAGACCGTTTCTGGCCTGATGGCTTTGTTCTAGCATTGCTTAAGAGACTTGCAGGCTGTAGGCTTGTAGGTTTCGTATCGGGGTAGCTAAATGCAAAGATATTCCAAAAGTCCGATTCCTTTTCAAACTTCCAGACATTATCGAAGGTTATTCTGTTCCCATCGCTTGTGACAAAGGACATTGGCCCAAAATCAAGCTCTCGTTTTCCCATAAACATTAGTCTCATCCATCTCTCCTTGTATTGGCCATTGACAGGGGGCGTTTTGGCATGCTGCTTCTGTTTGCGACCCCTCTTCCAGTCGTAAGCCAGCTTCCATGATTGGCTCTCCTCCTCAATGACGGGGAATGCGACGGCGCTTTCGTCCAATGGCTGACGTCGTTGTTCCGGACTGTTAGGCTGGATGCCATCCTCCTCAGACGCAGACATACCGAGCCTTCTGTTAGGAATCCATCCATTGGTCGCTAGTGGGACGTTAACTGCTTGGGGTAATGCTTGCTTTTTGGCACCGTACATACCATCGTTTGATGATGCTGCTGCCTTACCAGCGGTTTCCACCATACGGCTCCAATGGCAGGTTGGGCAGATGTTGTACAGGCTCGGCTTTTGTGGAACTTTCGAGCCTTTCGGCCACCGACGCCTACTGCAACTGTGGATAAACATAAAGGAGATTTTTTTCATCAGAAACAACGTGCGGATCAAATATACAACGCACACCAAGTGATAAAGTTAGATAGAGTTGTAACGAAATTGACCCCTGCATTTAAAAAAAAGGCTGCTAGGAGGCCCAACTGACGCCTTTTCTTTGCGTGGCTAAGAGTTGCCTGCCATCCAAAATTCGTGACCCTAGCATGTCCAGAACACAACATCAAAATCGTTCTGGTGCAGTACCATGCAATGAAAGGCACAAGGGGTTCCAGATTCTAAATTTTTTTCTTTGACAGGTCAAGACGTAACCACAAAGTTTCATGACAATCAAAGCCTCTTGAGTTATCGTGCTAAACAACACACACGCTTGCACACACACACACACACACACACACACACACACAAACGCTATATATACCAAAAACATAATCTTCATGGCGATGGTAAAAAAAACATTATAGGACTATAATCTTACCCATCACTATGACATAGAGCTTGCCAGCTGACAACTCGGTCGTTCCGATCTCCCGTTGTCCTGGTGATGACTTCTCCAGGCCAGCTTGCTGACGTGTTTTCGTCTTGACGACTTGACGACAAGGAAGGAAGTTCCTCAGGATCACGCCTCTGATGTCCCGCCGGCCACGTCTTCGTTCGACGTCTTCCATCGCCCTCTAACTTCTTAAGAAGCCGGTTCTCTCTTGGAGGCTCTCTGATTGCCCCTGTGAGCGGAACCGGTGTCTTGGCGACGTCAGCAGGCTGGCTGTTCCAGCGTCTGTGGCTCCATGGAGGGCTAGCCTCTGCCTTCCCTCCCCATCCTGCCGGTGTCCGAGGACTCGAGGTTTCGTCTCTTCTATAGCCTCTTCCGACTTGCTGGACTGATTCCATCCCGTTGGTTACCGCTGGGAGACCAGGAGGAGGCTTCTCTTGCGTCATGGACTGATCCTTCATCTCGGGCCACTTCCTGTCTGCTTCACTCCTTCTGATGTCACTCCCCACTAGGGTAGATATATAGAAATGGTTTATTCGCAAATTCGCACAAAACTAAAACAACATTGCAGCCTAATGCAACAATGTAAAAAAAAAGGCTGAATTACACAGTTACAGTTGTACAAAATATCATCAATATTTACAAATATAACTTAACTGTATGGCAAGAATATATACAGATGCGTTTTAATTGTAGGTATTAACGGCTATTACTAGTTAAGTTACTTAAGGCTGTTAGAAATATTGTAACCTAAAATTCTGATGGGCAACCTAATTTTTGCCGTAGGTACTGGGCAACCTGGTTCAAAAAGTATTTTGTACACTGTACATACATCGTAGTAGATCCGCAGGACTGGGTGATCTCTCCAGGCGTGCTTGCGTCGCGGTGAGTTGGTTGATGGATTGCCGGGAGTCTCTCCCCCGGTGGAGGCGGTAGTGAGGAGAGGGCGAGGCGGGGGCAGCCAGACGGCTCGCCAGGGACACCAGCAGGAGCGCCCACTGCAACAGACAGGCAGTTACCCTAACTTTTCAGTCACGACTGGTTTGTGCCTAATCTCCAAGCGGATATTTTGTTGGCTGCAAGAAAGTTAGCCTCTCTCAAGCACCGCGGATCGCTGAAAAATTGGTAGAAATTGGCCGAAATAAAGGGATAGTATAGCAGAGAAGATCCCGGGCCATAGAAGATCATGACAAGAATATCCAATTGAAATTGGATCTTCTATGGCCCTGGATCTTCTCTGGTATACTATCCCTTTATTTCGGCCAATTTCTACTATTTTTCCAGCGATCCGCGGAGCCTGGTAGAGGCTAAGACAGTATCAAATTGGCAAGACAGCACCATTGGCAGGGCCCACTGCAACAGAGAGGCGGTTAACCTAACTTTTCAGTCACGACTGATTTGTGCCTAATCTCAAAACGCCCATGTCTCCTACCACCTCTCGCGGTGGAAAACGATTAACATGTCCTTGTTGACTTTCCTTGTTAGTGATGGATTGTTTTGAATTTTGAAGTGCAATCCATATGGGATTTTGTACTCTGATATCCTAGTATGATAACAACTGATAAAGGATTTTGAAGTCCGATATCTTACTGTGATGCCTTGACTTACTTCGAGGATCCACTAGTCTCCACTGTATTATCAACGTGCGCTGAGGGACAATGATGTGCCAGGCGGATTTTGGCCACCATCGAGTCCATAGTAGCCTTCATAGCATGCCAAAACTGGGGGTTTTGGGGGGTCTTCAGGGTCTTTGGGATCTTTTATGTGCTATTTTCTGATTGCATATAGACAACATAGCCGGCCTGGTTGAATTACCCCCGTATTTTAGAACTGGGCTAATCAGAAAACAGCCGAAGACCACCAAACCCCCAGTTCTATAAGCCTGCAACGGAGCTAAGTCCATAGTGCTCTTCTATAAGATTATCTGTTTCAGTGATACTAAGAAACGAAGATGCCTTTCAACGTTTGTATTACGTAGCGACAAAATCCTTCCAACCATAGATTGTGAACAATTACTAGTAGTTCGAAAAGGCAATTACATCAAGTGAAACTTTCGTAAACTTCTGCTTTTTTCATTTCTTTGCAAATTGAACAAGTCTCGCCCTTAATGTACAAATGAATAGCAAATCGGTGAAAGATGTCAACTTGTATAAAATCAAATGCGCTGAGAAGTGATGGCCAATCACAGGGTACTGACCCATGAACAAGGCTGTATTACCGAAGGCGCCACATTTCAGTGCCATAATCATCGCTCTAATCAGCTACGACTAAGCAGATAGCATGCAGGTATATTGCCAAACATGTGCTAGTGACCACCTCTACATAAGGACCACCTGGCTATACTGATATACAGTCAAACCTGTACAAGTGACCACCTCTACATAAGGACCACCTGGCCATTGATATACAGTCAAGCCTGTAGCTACGGCCAAACAAAATAGGTGGTAAGCCCACAACCCATAGTGGCCATACTAGGTCTTGTGTTCGAATCTACCTAATCTCCAAGCAGATCCCTATCGGTGGCAAAAGACAGTATCCATTAGCCATAGGAGTTTACCTCGCCACCGTCGGTGGCCGCGGACCTTCTCTGGCTAATGGATAGTGCCTGGCCAATTTGATACTGTCTTTTTGCCACCGAGAGGGATCTGCTTGGAGATTAGAATCTACCAACATGTTGTATCATTGGAAATGTAACTTTTCACGAATATCCTCGCTTCACTCAGAAGAAAATTAGTACCTAGTTTTGGTTAGGGATGTCTATCAGATAGGCTCCGTGTCTGAGGAGAGCCACACCATATGCACAAGAACCCACCACACATTTCGAAAAAGAATAGAGGCATACTCCGGTCCAAATACTATCTGAAAGTTGGTGATTCACTACTCCAGGAAGAACAGTGTGAAATTTACACGCTAAAGAAGATCCACTCATCAAACAAACAAACCAGAGTGTTTACCGTTATTTTGTAGCGACTGATCATCTTTTCCGATCAGGACACTGACGTCCCTGGCAGCTTCGCACTTCGGAACGCCCGGCGGAATCTCCACTACCCCGTCTGCATGTGGATGTACACCAACCCTCGACGCGATGACCGACTGTACTGCCTGGCAGCGTCCCCCTCTTTCCTCGCAAGGCTGCCGTTGGTCACTGCGTTTTTAAACTCGGGTGCTCGAGAGATGTCCGCCACGTCTGCTTTCCACGGGTTGCCTGTGTACAGCCGCTACTGCCTTCGACTGCAAACGGTCTTACTGCACTAGCTCACTGTCTTACTCAAGAAAGAAATACAAGAACTCGACAGATGTTAATCTACGAGTTCACTACGTCCGGGCGGTCTGCTTTCTACAGGTAAACTGTCTACACTTCAGCTATCAGCGGTCTTATACTTGTCTTACTCAATACTGCAAAAAGAGATGACAGAACTAAGGCATAAGAAGCAGCACACCTCGAAACTTCATAATCCGCCAAAGTGTCGCTGGGAACGGAGACCTGGAGATATATAGGAGTGGCTACAAGAACTTTTAAGATGGCGTTACCATGGTGATGTCTACGCTGACCAATAGCTGAGCTGCTGTGAATTCGTTATCATAACCAAATTGTTCATCACACGAGAGTCTCGCGAAAGCTCATTGGCCAATCGCAAGACTTACTGGCAAACTCGAAGCGTAATGTAACCATGACCATGACCTAGTACGTGTTGGCCCCTAGTGTCTAACACTACATCCGCTACAAATACTCCAAGTGCTGAAGGATGATCTGAACATTATATTCAAGCTCGGACCAGTAAGACGTTTTCTTAATGTCCAAGCAAAGATACTGTCTTTTGCCTCTCTAGGATCTGCTTGGAGTCTACGTTTTTCTCCGAACTGTTTTCGAGGTACCGTGAAAAAGATACTAGTAATCTTCAACCAACCAGACGTTTCGATGGTTGTTGGACAGTATCTTTGGTAGGGTAGTATCCATGTGCCACCCCAACTTCGGTTGGCGAAAGAAAGACACCAGTACAGAAAAGAAACCCCGAAAAACGTCTCAAAATACATCTTAAAAAGCCGAAGCCTATACCTCTTCTTTGAGAGCAGTTGGTCCCTAGTGCCTAACACTGTATCCGCTACAAATACTTGGAGTGTTGAAGGATTACCTTAACACTTACAGGCTTGGACAAGCAAATCCCCAAAAGGGTTTATTTCTTAAGCTTTCTCGGAACTGTTTCCTTGTTCCTTGGAAAACGCTTAGTTTGATTGGTTTTTCGTAGAAAAACCTTAAATAGGAGCCAGTGTAATATTTGCCGTGTGTATCAGAAATGACTGCAGGGCGGACAAGTGAAACACTTCAACACTTAGCTGTCCATTACTCACATCTTTAGGTAATGGAGATTCTAACCTTTCGTGAACCCGGACTAAATCTGGGACTTATTGTGGGCGGTCACTAATACCGTAATCCCGAAATGGCGACGTTCTAACTAGTGGGACTACGCTCCACCATTTAAAGGTATTTTCTGTCTGCTTTTTACCGTTTTATTTTTAGAGTACCACCAATTATGCAACAGTTACTCCCCCATGCTGTATTCCAATAGAGGATTAACATTTTCTGTTAAACCTGGAGGAGTTGACAATGAAAAAAGTTTTTAAAATGCCTTCCCCTGGTATAAAGGAAATAGATTAGCGAACGTGAACTTAATCTCCAAGCATATGCTATGGTAGCAAGGTAGCCCCCGTGGATAATGGACATAATCTCGGTTAAGATTCGGTGGGGCAAGGGGACTTTTTGTTGGCCTCTCTCTCTCTCTCTCTCTCTCTCTCCCCCTCTCTCTCTTTTCCAATGTTAGACATAATAGATTTAAGGGTTTCATTGAACAGGGAATTGTTACTCAAGCAACTGGATATGTTTTCGAAATCTATCCAGTTGCTTTAGTAACAATTCCTTCTGTATGTACATGCATACTTAACCTTAATCAACTTCTACTAGTATTCATATTGATTTTTATGTAATATAGCACTTTCGGTAAGGCTAGCTGACTTCATAATGTATCGTTTTTTTTACAAAGTCGTGCAGAAAACGATCACCTGGTCACCTGGGCAGCAGGGTCGGAAATCCACTTGTCGTATCACCACTCTTTTTTACGTGCGCAAGAAGACTGAAACCACATTAAGAACTGGTAAGAAGGAAATCTCCACTTCCCCTTGAGAAAGTACCTTAAGTGCACGGGTCTTTCCTTGCGTCGTCTTGTGGTGGTTGCTACCAAATCTCAAGATAGGTGACGGTCACTAGTTAATCTCTCTTCCAACAGTTTCCTGGTACATGATTGTTCTAATGGACACATTCCATTATTTTCCTAACCGCGAACACTTTTTGTGACACCACTGTACCAGCACTGAGTCTTTTGGAGTACCAAGGGAAAAGGTCTTGACGTTGTTGTGTACGTATGATTTTATCTTCTTAGTATAGCTCTCACTTAGCTTTCTAGCCTCTACCAGGCTTTGGGAGGCGGTTGGAAAGAGCAGAAATTGGTCGAACGGACAGATAACATGCTGGAGGAGTTGGTCGGCTAGAGAGTACAGTTTGCCTCACCCAGTGGACCAACTGCCCTGGCATATTATCTCCCTATTTGGTTAATTTCTACTCCTTCCAGCCGCCTCGCAAAGCCTGGTAGAGGCTATCTAGATGTGGCAAAACTATGTAGTGTGTACAATGAACATTGCTGCCAAAGTAAGCCCTTACACTCAGGAAAAAACGAGTTACGAATGCGATCAGAAACTGATTATAGTCAACGTGTGTTTAAAAGATGGCAGATCAGCACCAAGGACAGGTTCGTTCCCACACACATAGTACACGTGTATTTACCGTGTGCCCACTGGCACTGTGGTCTCTTCCGTACCAGTGATTTTCGTCCTGTTCTCTCAACTATTTTTCGTTCAGAATCAAATTGCACACCATCCCGGCCTCTGCCTCTTTGTAGCCTGGGTATTACTTTTTGTACCGGGGCACCCAGGCTAGTCCCTTTGCTTTGTAGCGTTTGTAGCTTTCATGCCGCCTACCCAGTGTTGGATGGAAGTTGGAAGATGAAAGGCACCGTGCTTGGTCAACACACAAATTGAACGCATGTCAATGCCAGTGACGCCTTAAAACTTCACGGTTCGGCACACTTTGAAGAAGCTTTCTGTGGCTGTCCTCCGAAACCCCACTCACTCGTGAATGAATCTCAGCAGAAACGGTTTCTCCAAACTGCATCGCATACCACGTTGAGGAATTTGGACAACACACCCGGCAAAATATCAAGAATGTGACGCAGACCGTCAATTGCAAGTGTATAAAGTTGTCAATTTTAATGTTAGAGAATAAAGTTAGGTGTAATGGATAGCATTGTGTGAAGACAGACGTACAAAACGCAAAAGAACGCATGTCGCGCACTAAAAAACTCAGGGCGCCAGGCGCAAATATGTGTGTTCTACAGAACATGCCAACAGAACACCGGCAGTTGTGATTCTTTCCAACGTTCTGTGCATCATTTACCAACCCTTTCCGTCGTGTACAGTATACAGATAATGTCATAAAACCGAAGGACTGTCCACAGCATGTAATCGCTGGTCCCACGCCAGGCAATACTCCAGTTGCCGTGTTCAGTAAGGCGAAGGTCTGGAGAAAGGGGCAGGCAAGTGCCCACCGCAAGGCGGCGTACTTCACCCCAGCGGTTTCTGCGGGATTTGGGGGCACAACATGACAGCTTCGGCTGACTACCAGGGACAACATTCCACCAACGGCGGAGACACAAGGGAACTGGCTGGGGCTTTTGATTGGGCCCTAGAGACAGGCGAAAGACTCGGATGCCAGGCAGAGCCATGGGGAACTTTGCAAGAGAGAAGGTAAAGGTAGCTAGTATTATAGTAGTTTAGTACTAAGTATCTGTTCCTTATGAAAATAAACAAAAATGAAGCCAACGACTTTCCAAAACTGGTAGTGGTACACCGTTTACTCTCGAAAATAAACAGATACTAGTAAAATGAAGAAATACCTGCTACATTATTAGGGTAAAAGTGTGTGATCACGGTCGTTTGTTTGATATTACAGGAAAGTTTTATTGCAAATTCATGCCCGAAGGCTAATTGCATGAACAGAAGAAACATATTATAAAACTGTTGTGTGTTTTTTCACTTTTTTTATCGTGCTTTTTTTCTTGCACTGGTATCTTTTTACGCCAACCAGTGCAAAATGAGAAAGCCCAATAAAAGACTAAAGACGCCAAAAATATAAAATACGCCAAAACCCAAACCTCTGCTTGGAGACTACACATATGATATGCGCCATTGAAGATTCATAGATATCCAGAAACCAGCTAAATGCCGAATCAAATATATATCTACTCATGTGTCTCATGTGGTTTATTGGTTTATGTGCAGCACTTTGAGTACTAGTATTTACCGCACATGTCACATTAAAGATGACAGCAAGTCACCCAGCTTATCAAAACAAAACCAACATGACGCCTTTTGTGTTGGTAATTGAAACAATCTGTCACAACACCGAATAGGAAGCGTAATCTGCTACAAAACATCCAAAACACTGTTTTGGACAATTTATTCATCAAAATCCCAACACGAAGAAAAATAAATCGGAACTTAAAAGAAATACCGAAGCTCACGAATGCAAAGTACTTGTAACATTTTTGGCGCCAAATTCCCCATATGGATTTTAGGTGTTAGTTTCAGTCTGGCGGATTGATACATACTAACCAAATCACTTGACGTGAAACTGGGATCAGAAATCATTTTTATTGGAAATTTATCATTGTTGATTACGGTATTTAGTGCAATATTGACATTTTTGGTGGCTAAAATTTGTCAAAAGTCTGACTAAGTCCGTAATATTTCTTCAAGTTCTGAACTACTTTGTGTACGCGCATGAATAGGAGAGTACTGCGGTCGAAACAGCTGGGTTGAGAGTCGCTGTACATATTTTCAGTGTCTCCTCGACATTTGGTGAAACTTTATGTCGTTTCCGGCCAAGCAAACTCTTCCTTTCCTCGCTACTGTGGCCCAACAAGTTGGAAACCAGACACTGGAAGACTGTACACGAGGTAAACGGTTTGAACAACTTCTATAAAGCTTATTTACTTGGTGAATTATGTGGGAAAATGATGATGCCGAAAAGTTTGTGGTCCATGCCTTGCAAAAATGTGTTCAGAAGTATCTCTCCATGCCCCAAAGTCGAAAGATTGAATCTTTCGATGAAATTCTCTTAGAACCAAATGTGTGTTCTTGATCCCAGTGAACTTCTTATCAAATATCGTGCCACATGGCACAAGTTACGGCGTGCAAAACTGACGCCTTTGTGGCCTTTGTGACCCCGAAAACTTTTCAGTAGGCGTGAAAAAATGCCTTTTCCGCCACAGATGTTGTGCCACCAAAACTAGAAGCTAACGCTCTAGTTTTGCAGATCTAGTTTTCTTGCCAACGATAGGTAGGAAATCGTTCTAGATCCGCATACATGTACTAGCACATCTAACTAAAATTTGATCGGTTTGCAAATTTCTTTTAATGTTTGAACTGTTGTTTAAAAAAAAAAGCCCCCCCTCCCCCTCCCCCTCATGAGAAAATCATATACCTCCTTGGGAAAATATAACCTTGGCTTTTCGCTTCGTCGTTATACTTCGGGAATTTCTACTCGCACATGTATTTCCCTTTGGAAGTTTTCCTTTTCAAACAACTCCGAAATCAAGGAGACTTATCCTCCTTGTCAAAAAAAAGTCATTTGTCTTCACGCCTACGTGACATTTGATACTTTTCTCAAGGGTTTGGGTGATTTATTATTCTGCACGAAAAGAAAATTCACTATGGGAGTACTAGCCTCTACCAGGCTTCGGGAGGCGGCTAGAAATCAGCCAAATAGAGATAACATGACAAGGGAGTTTGTCCCTTGAGAGAACAGTTTCGCAGCCTCTTGAAGCCTGGTAGAGGCTATGTGGAAAATGTCACATAATTTTCGCCACCTCAACATACTAGTATGTGCTTTTCTTTCCATATGTAGAATTTGTCTAGCCTCTACCAGGCACCGCGGATCGCTGGAAAAATCGTCTATGGCCCGGGATCTTCTCTGGTATATTATCCCTTTATTTCGGCCAATTTCTACTATTTTTCCAGTGATCCGCGGTGCCTGGTAGTAGAGGCTAACCTCAACATATGTGCTTTTCTTTTCATATGTAAATTTTGCCATGTTACAATGTTCATGACATCGAATTCATTCTCACTCTATTGGAATCCTATCTATTGTCATTTTATCAATGGAGGCTTTTCATTGACAAGATAACAATTATAATTTGAATGCCAGGCATTTGTTGGCATTCATGTTGGCAGCAAACAACATGGCACATTTAGCCTGGCCTCCTCCAGGCCTTTCTACTGGAATACAGATCATAGAATTTGGCACTGAAAAAAAGAGTAAAATTGGCCAAGGGAGTCTGGCTGCGGGGAGGTATAGTTTCTTTCCTCTCACTGCGCGGCCAGTTAAACCTACAAGACGGCCAAACTCCCCTGGCAAATATTCTCCTATAGCCAGCGTAGTTAGTCTGGTAGAGACTACAAAGCCTATTGGGAGCAGACCATAATTTGAAGCTAACAAGGCTGGACTCCAGGCTATGGCACATTAGCCAATAATAATCTCCAAGCCGATCTTTTGTTGGCTGTGATTTAGTGTAACTGCAAGACAGTAGCAAATAGGCATGACAGTATCCAAATGGCTGGCAGAAAAATAGTAAGGACATTATGTATAATAATAATTATGTAATAATAATGTCCTTGGAAATAGATACCAGTTTTCTTTCAGTACCAAAGAAAGAGAGAAAAGAAAGATAGAAAGCCCTGTTAAATTATACCTGTTAGGTACACCCAGGTTTTACTGAGTTTCAATATCTATGAGTTCTTTTGCTACGTTGTTACCAGACTAATTTTCGTAACCATAGTAACAGTAGACTCAGCGATGTCAGTAATTACCAACAACAAACACATGCCATGGATGCCAGTTTTCCTTCTGTGTGAAAAATCAAAGGTTTCATTATGAGGCCACACCAATTTAATTTGTTGGTTCTCGGATTCACCTCTTCATTTTTTTCTGATTTGCAAAAAAAAAAAAAAGATTCTGGTCCTGAATCAACTCAAATATGCTCATATTTTGCCCCCAACAGTTGAGGAATGTCCTTTTCTTGCTAGTTGTTACAGTTTTTCCATCTATCAATGCAGTGGTTTGATTAAAAGTTCAAAATTCAATGTTTAAATATTAACTCAGCCTTTTGTGTTGACTTCATGGCTCCTATCATAGAATTTGGGGCTATAATAGGATGCCTAGACCTCTTTTTATTTTTTTATTTTCTCGCCCTGTCACTTCACATTTTTTCTGAAAAAATCAGAGAACCAACAAATCAAATTGGTGTGGCCTAAACAGCACAGTTTAAACTCAGTGCCTGCTTGATTTGCGTGTACGTGTTTGCGGTCTAGCCATATCTTTGGGCATCTTTGAAAGACATGTAAACAGCCTTTACTATGCTTTATGTGTAACAGTCTAGTACCTGGGATTTTGTACAGTTTTTGTATTTGTGTTTGTATTACAGTGTTTATTTGCACAGGAAGTAGAATCTATGCCAGCTTGGACTCACTGTAACTTAGTGTAAGGTTAAATTGTTTGATCCGCTCACACGGGGAAGGACCCTTCATCCTGTTGTTTAGTGTATAATGGGATCTTTAATGGGGGCCCCGCATGCCCTTATCCGTAGAGCGTAATCGGCCGTTTTAATTCTACGTAGAGCGTAGACGGACCGCTCTAATTCAACGTAGAGCGTAATTGGTGCCTTTTGTGTAGAGCGTATTCGCCGCTTTAATTCTACGTAATGCATTCTAGCCACTTGGAATTTACAGTTAAGCGTAATCGAGAGGTGAATTAGATGAAAGATAGATGTGTGGAGGGATGTAGAGAATTGCAATGTTTGCCTTGAACTTCTTTTGATTTTAACTTTATCTTTTTTTCTTCCCTGCAGGTCTAGAGGATCAGTCCAGAGGCGCGTTGCTCCGTCCATGATCGGCTTTGGACATCGTCAAGTATCCAGCGGGAATCCGCAAACTTTCGCAAGGCCCCCCACCCAGCACCTCCTGCCGCCTGCTCAATGTGCAAGGCCCCCTAACCACCCCGTTAATTACCTACCGCAGCCCCACTTCGTGGTGCCAACGTGCGCTGCCATGGAGCCGCGAATCCCCCTAACGTACACCCGCCCCTTTCGTCCCGTGACCTACCAACCCTTTGTCATGCCTGTGCAGCACCCCCCTCCAAACCGCTACCCCCCTCCCATGCAGCAGCAGCAACAGAGTTATCCCCCCCAGTCTGGCCAGTTCGTACCCCCCTCCAGTGTACCACCCCCTGCTTCATACCAGCCTCAGCAGTACCCCAAAGCTTCAGCCTATGCTAAGTCCCAGCCCCAGTACCCCAACACTTCTAACCAGCAGTACCCCAACACTTCTAACCAGCAGTACCCCAACACTTCTAGCCAGCAGTACCCCAACACTTCTAACCAGCAGTACCCCAACACTTCTAACCAGCAGTACCCCAACACTTCTAACCAGCAGTACCACAACACGTCTGCTTACGCTGAACCTGACCGTACTAACGGACAGACTGTAGCTAACTGGGCTGGCTGGCAGGGCGAGGGGTGGGAAATAACAGAGCTGAGGAGAAGTCTGTACAGGTAGGCTGCAGATTTGGTTTGTGTTAGATGCAGAATGTACAGTGAGTGAATGTGCAAAACCTGGATTTTTCATGGTGTCGGTCATGATTGGTCAACGTTGCAGCTGAATTGCAGACCATGTTTTTTTCCCAACACAACATTTGAAAACTATAGACGGAATGTCCTACACGCTTTTTTCAAGTTAGATGAGCTAGTCAGTGTATTTGATTTTAGCGGTAATTTGTTCCAAAGGTAGATTGCCCTGTACTGAAAGGTTCTCGTTTTGCTGTTTGTTTTTGGTTTTGGTAGCCTGCATTTTTCTCTCTCCTGTCTCCCCTTACAGAGAGTTTGGGACCCTGTTGACCGTCCATGGTCCCCTTGGTGAGAGGGACCAGCCTGTGTTAGGACTGTTCATGGGGATGCCAACAGAGGCTAGGCAGCTCATTAAGGTAAAACTAGATTCTTGATTTGGATACGGGAGTTTTCTTCTACACAACCAACCAACCTACTCGCTGCTATATGTAGCCAATGTAGGCTAGGTGGCGCCACCAGCATTGGCTCCATATAGGCTCAAGAAGCAGAACTCCAGTCTGAAGCTCTTAGACCGAAACGTCAGCAAGGTAACTATCTTGATTGTGTAAAAGAAAACTCCCGTATCCTACACTCTACCAACCTGATGAAACTATTTTCGGTAGATTCCTGATTCCAGTAATCTAACTTGGTGTATTTCCTCTAGATCTGTTCACAACCTACGATTATGGATTTTCCCACTGGCACCCTGCCAGCTTCTATGGCCCAATTTCCTGTATCTGACCTTTGTGGTCTGCAATTTAGAATAATTCTGTAGAAGCCATGGAAGCCCCTGCCATACCGCAAAGTATTTCATGGTACGACCTGGTCTGGGACACTGTTATCCAAGATTATCACAGCCTGGTTATGATATAATTAGTTGTGAATTATGCCTAGCTAAAGGTCCAAACATTGTTCTATTATACAGGAGTGTGGTGGAGTGAAGGCCTTCCTGCTCCAGAGCCGGATGTTCCATGAGGATGGGGGGAAGATTTTCCTGTTGGACAATCCGCCACCCCCGCCCATGCAGGTGGTTTCCTCTACAGACAGTGGGCAGGGAAGCTGGGAGGGGAATAGAGGTAAGAAGCTGTTCCAAAACCCTCGTGTTCAAGCCTTCAGTTCATGCATGTGTAGGAAATATGTGTGGCAAACACCTCTATATACAGAAAGTATGCATTTTTTAGTGTCTTTGTCGAACAAGTTTTGTTGCTCCTTACGACCTTAGTCAGATTGGATGTAGCCTTTAATTGTATTTTTTGTACTGCAATCTCCAAGCAGATCAATCAAGTTATCAGAGCAGTATCCATTTGGCTGGCTTAAAAATAGAAAGCCTGATAAAATTGCCTAAAACTTTTCCTCCCTCTTTTTCTCTTATATAGCTGCAGTAGGCTCACAAAGAACCAGATGAAATGCAGGAATGTCAGAGTGTCTAATGCACTGCTGTATTTTCTTGGTAACAGGTGGCAGATCTTGGTACAACTGTTTGTTTGTTAGCTTTTGCTGCAATGAGACATTAAGACACAAACACAGCATGAGAGTGTAGCAGCCAGTAGAGGGACTTTTTGAAGGTCCACGTTTTAACACTGTGTATTTGATAGTCTCCTCCAGGCCTGCCAGTGGCATCAACCCCAACGCTGTGGAGTTTGTTCCCAGTGAGTGCTCCTTCAGCGAGGCTAGCTCTGACGACGTGTTCGTGGAAGGTTCAGAAGAGACGGGTAAAGTTTGTTTGTTTGTTTGAACCATTTTTTTATTCAAATTGGCCTGCAAGCCGCTTTTCATTGATGTATGTAGGTAAAGTTTACTTGTTTGTTTTGTGTAACTGGTGTGTTTAGGTGTAACACACCAGTTTTGTACAGTAAGTACAAGGTCTTATGAAGCAAGCTTAAACTGTAATATTCAACACAATAAGTTGGACTCACCCAAATTTTCAACTGTACAACTGCAGTCTTTGTCAAGGAATGAGCAAGTCGAAAATTGTACAGTTGAAAATCTGGGTAAGTCCAATTTATTGTGTTGGATATTACAGTTTAAACTTGCTTCATAATGATTTCTACCAACACAGATGAACTTTCAAGAGAAGTACAAGATCTGTTAGAGGACTGTAAGGTTTGTTCCACTCACACCGAGAAGGACCCCTACTTTTTTTCGATAAGTGCAGTGAGATCTTTAACATGCTCAATGTGTTGCTGTCCTCAAACAAGGGACTTCTGGCTTTAAGTCCCATAGGAGAAGGATGTCCTTATCTAAAGCTGCTCATTTTCAAACACAAAATATGGGTACAGTGTAAGGCGAAGCATTGTAAAATACTTAGTTACACTAATATCATACAATCTACGTACAGATTCTAATCTCCACAATATGGCACAAGGCACAGTGTAGAGTTTTGTCAACTATCCAGCTACCTTGTACATTTTGTTAAAATTGTTCATTCATTTTATTACATGTATGTTGATTATTCCTTTATGCTCATTTCCTACCACATAGGATCTACCTCAGAATCTGCCTTCAAGGAGATCGCGTCAGCTTACGGCATCAAAGTGACCCGGCCTGAAGACTACAGCCTGGAGGACTTCCACAGCTTAGAGGACGTTGACCTCCCAGAGGAATATAAGGACAATGGAGAGGAATACAAGTCTGCTGAGGATATTGTTGGGGGTGGAAACTCTGAGCAAATGGAAGAAATAGTTCAAACAGCAACGCCACAAAATCCAGATCCCAGCATACAGTTAGATCACCACCAAGAGCAACTGGACTCTGTGAAAGGTAGTGAGTTAGTAGTAGAGTGTGTCCCTGGAGAGTCTTGGATTGTGGAGGATGAGCTTGTGGAAGAAATAGCAACGTCACAAAATCCAGAAGCTGGCACACAGTTAGATCACCACCTAGAGCAACTGGACTTTGTGAAAGATAGTGAGTTAGTAGTAGAGTGCGTACCCGGAGAGTCTTGGAGTGTGGAGGATGGGCTGGACACAGGCAGAAAGTGTGACACGGATCAAAAAACGATGGCCTCCGGTGATACCATCGCAAAGATGTGCAAGTTGCAAGAGTTGGTTAGATCTGAGGATTTGCACACTGACTCTAAGTCTCACCTGTATTCAGAAGCTGCAGACAAAGATTCAAGCAACCAGATCACTTGTAATGGCGCAGTCGCTTCGCCACAAACAGAGGATAAGGCAAACGTTCCTGAAAGTATCACCCAAGAGGATGGACTAAATGATGAGGAGACAGGCATCACTGAAGATGGCCCTTGTTCCTGTGGGGCGACTGTTGCCTTCCCCACCTTTCACGAAGGTACGGCTACAGTCGAGCAATCCTTGGACAGAATCTTTCAGAACTGGGAGTTCGATAAGGATGGCAACATTGTTGATCCTCAGGAACACTCAGGTGAATCTTGTTGCCAGGCGAACTTTAACGAGAACAACAACAATGTGGACCAGCAGTCTCTCACTGCTGAGCAGCTCAACCAAAAATATGTCGCTGATCTCCGTGAGTACGTAGGCGCCCTTCATGGTGTGTTGGGAACTATTGTGGAGAACGTCCCTCAAGACAAGTTAGAAACTGCCCTGAAAGACTTTGCAAGCAGTGCGCCTCAAGAAACGTTAGATGCTGTGAAGAAGGAGCTTGCAGGGTATGATCTTCAACACAAGTTGGAAACCGCAATGAAAGACGTTGCAAAGAGTACACCTCTAGAAGAGTTAGAAACAGCAAAGGACTTAGAACTTTCAAATAGTGCCCTTGAGAAAGAGATAGAAACAACAAAGAAAGAAATCCAGCAACTTCAGGAGAAAAAAACTGCCCTTCGAGAAGAAGTGTTAGAAATGAGAAAGACAAATTATGACCTTCAAGACAAGTTAGAAACTTCAAGACAAGTTAGAAACAAGTTTAAAAAGTTAGAAACAGCGAAGGAAGAAATCCATCCATGTCAGAAGGAAGCAACTGCCCTTCGAGAAGAAGTGTTAGAAGAACAAAAAGAGATAGAAATGAGAAAGACAGAACTTGTAAAGTATGACCTTCAAGACAAGTTAGAAGCAGCGAAGGAAGAAATCCATCCATGTCAGAAGGAAGCAACTGCCCCTCGAGAAGAGTTAGAAGAACAAGAAGAGTTAGAAGAAGACGACTTAGAAGAAGAAGAAGACTTAGTGTCAGAAATGACAAAGACCGAACTTGCAAAGTATGCCCTTCAAGAAATGTTAGAATCTGTAAAGAAGGAGCTTGCAGGAAAGTATGACTTCCAAGAAGAGTTTGAAACTGCAGTGAAAGCACTTGGAAACAGCGTCCCTCAAGAAGAGTTAAAAACTGCAAGGAAAGAAATCCACCAACTTCAGGAGAATGTAACAGCACTTCAAGATGAGTTAGAGACTGCAAAGACAGAACTGAAAACCAAGGAGTCAGATAGAGAGCAAGCTCAGCTGCAGTTAGCAGATGTTGAGAAAGAGATGACAGAGAAACTAACTAACATTCAAAAGGAGTTAAAAACTGCAAAGAAAGACCTGGCAACCCAGGAATCGGCTAGAGAGAAAGCTCTCTCGCAGCTTGAAGCTGCTAATCAACTTATGACAAGAAGAATACAGTTTACTGACACACTGCAGGAAAAAGTTACAAGTCTTGAAGAGGAGTTAGAAACAGCGAAGAAAGAAGTTGCAAAGATTGGCCTTCACGGAGAGTTAGAAGCTGCGAAAAAAGAACTTACAAAGAACGCCCTCCAATTCAGGAAGGATGAAATCCACCAGCTTCAGAAGAAAGTAACGTCCCTTGAGGAGGAGCTAGAAACTGCAAAGAAGGAGCTCGAGACAAAAGGGTCTGCCACAGAACAAGCCCAGTTGCACCTTGATGCTGTGGAAAAGGAACTGACAGAGAGAGTAACTGCCCTTCAAGAGGAGTTGGACACGGCAAAGAAAGAACTTGAAACCAAGGAGTCAGCTAGAGAACAATCTGACGGGCAGCTTGCAGCTCCTGATATGGTACTGAATACGAGACTGCAGAATGAACTTGAGGTAAAAGTTACAGCCCTTGAAGACCAGTTAGAAACTGCAAAGCAAGAACTGGAGACCAAGGAGTCGGCTAGAGAACACGCTCACTTGCAGCTTGAAGCCGTCAACAAGGTGCTGACAACAAGACTGCAGCATGCCGACATACTTCAGGAAAAAGTAGCAGCCCTGGAAGAGGAGTTAGTATCTACTAAGAAAGAACTTGGGAAGCCTTGTCTTCACGAAGAGTTAGAAGCTGTGAAGAAAGAGCTCGCAAACAGCACCCTCCAAGAACTGTTAGAAAATGCAAGGAAGGAAATCAGTCAACTACAGAACAAAGTAACTGCCCTGCAAGAGGAGTTAAACACTGCCAAGAAAGAACTGAAAACAAAGGAGACTGCACACTTGCAGCAAACAGTTGTTGAGAAGGGACTGACAGAAAAACTGCAGGAAGCTGAAACTCGGCTGCAGAATTCCCTGCAGCAGGAGGAAGAGTTGAAAGAGCGACTGCAGCAGGTTGAAACTCAGCTGCAGAAAAACCAGGATGTCGCAGAAGAGTTGAAGAAGGCTCAGGAGCGGGCAATGCAAGCAGAACTTCAGGTGTTAATTTTTAACCAGCCTGTTTTTAATCATTTTGCTAAGTAAAAGTGTGTAGAGGAATCCTTTAATAATTTATGTATCAGATAAGATATATTTTTAAGTCTATGACTGTCATATTGTTGCTGAATTTAAATCTTTATTGTATTACTTGTTTAAGATTTAGAAGTTAGCTCCCATTTCAGATTTAAGCTCAGAAGAGCAGCAAGATCTGTAATTAGGGTTTGTTTTATATGGTGCACCCAAATTATTTTTTGTGCACCTTACTGTTTAGGTTGGGTGCACCAGTGCACCTATTGCAAAAATGAATTTCAAGCCCTGTTATGTATGTATGTATGTATGTATGTCAGAACACACAATTCAGCCTGTGGGTTGCCAGTTGTTCACTTGCAATAAACCAAACTGTGAACCAAACTTCAGGTGTTAAACTTCACGTTCCGGTGGTGTCGCTCGGAGCTGGAGGATCAGTACAGGGAGGGAGAGAAGATGTACAGGTTTGTTTCATTCTCTTCTTCTTCTTCTCCAAACAAATAAGGTCAATGACCTGCACCAGATGTTTGTCACCATGGTAACTAGTGTTCAGTTACATCACGTTGCAATTTGATAGCAGGAGGGATTTAGACTTCTGTCACCATATATATGAACGTGTTTGAGTAGTTAAAAATCCATTAGATTAGACACATCATTCTAATCTATTCTTCCTGGAGTCACAACCCCTGCAATTAAATGTGCAAAGATTGAGTGTAACAAGTCGTTCGGTGTGATATATCTAGCTGCTGCCATTGCGCATGCCTGCGAAGCTGGTGTGTTACGCTGAAGGCAGTTATACCGGCTATACAGATACAGATACAGATGTGTGTTTTTGTCCAGGTTCTACACAGAGAGGTGCAAGCTGTGGGACAGAAGGCTGGAGAAGTTCTGCTGCGACTGGCAGGACTACACCAGCGACATCCTCAAACAGATCACGACTCTGCAGGTTTGTACCGATCAGATGATACAGGAGGCATAGGAAAAAAAATGTTGTGTTTCCTGTTTCCCGACCGACCCTAGAAAAACCTGCCGACCCTAGACTTCTAGAATATAAAAATATTGTCTACAACAGGCAAATATGTGATGCAACGTTGACCAAAAATACAACAAAAATCGTGAAAAATGGGTGTTGAACACACCTCTCTGTCAGACCAACAGACTGAAATAATCAATCTATCTATGTTAAACGAAGAGTCTTTAGTAGGTAATTAATCTTTTAATGTCAATTTGTTGTATATAAAAATTAAGAATTTACTGATGAGGATATTTTTAAACTGTAAATACCCATATTTTGTGTATTATAAAGCGAGCTCAATGGTGTGTAAATACTAACGCAATTCAGACTTTTGTCTGCTATGACAATGTGGTATTTGAAATAAAGTTTCAAAGTTGTTGAGCTCAGGCTCATCCTTAATGTTGTTTTTTTACCCTTTAACAGCTGCTGTACTCCAGCCACGTCCAGAAGCTCCAGGCCGGGGGTCAGTTGTCCGACCTCCCGCCGCTCAGCCTGGTCAGGCCACAGATGCCGCGTCTCCCAGACCTGACTGCTGACATGGTGAGTCCGCAGGGGATTGTGATCTCCTGAACCATGCTTTATCCAAAATCATGCCTTATCCAGCACCATGATCATGCACAGTCCACACATATCCATGTGCGGTGTAAATTAGCTATAATTCACTTATGATTGTCTGCTACGTGATGATAATACTTGTAATAAAGTTCTTTGTCCTTTTTTTGTTGACCTCAGCTGACCTCTCCAGACAGCTACAAGCTCCACCTTGTTCCCCTCCTGCCTGTCGTAAAGCCACCAGGCAACGACTCGACCAGCCCAAATTCACCAACCCTACCTACCGGCAACGTGGACTGGTCCTGCCTCAACCCTCACAGGGAGTCCCAGTTGAACGTCTTTGCTCCAGAATGGAAAGAGAGTCCCAGTCCTGCCACCAGTCCGAAAGAGACAGGGAGCAAAATCCAACCTAAGCAGTCAGACCAACACAGCAGCTTAGTGCCATCATCAAACTCCAAAAGCTGCACAACTACGCAAAACAGCAAGTCTTCAGCTCAGGACAACGCAACGTCCCAGGGCAACAGAAGTCCTAGTGACAACTTTCAAGTTCAACCGCTGCCAAAAGCCAAAAGCGCAGCAACTCAAAACAGCAACTCTCCAAATCAGGACAGCTCAACTCCTCAGTGCAAGAGAAGTCCTGACAATGACAACTTTCAAGTTCAACCGTTGCCAAAAGCCAAAAGCTCAGCAACTCAAAACAGCAACTCTCCAAATCAGGACAGCTCAACTCCCCAAGGCAAAAGAAGTCCTGATACTGACATTCTAGTTCAACCGGCACCAAAAGCCAAAGTTTCGGAGGAGAAACAGAGGCTTCGGCTGCCTTCCAGGATCTCGAAAGCTGCCTCTGTTTCTTCAGGTATAGTCTTTTTCTGTCTTTTTTTTTTTACCACGCAATCAATTTTTTAAATACAATCATTGTACACAAAAGGCATTTGACAGGGACAACTTTGCTCATCTACAGTTTATGGTACATGTACACATCATTGTAAAATATTTGGCAACCAAAGTCAAGTTTAAAACTAGCAACAGTCAACCAACAATCCTGGTACATGCAAGCTACAAATGGTCACTTCATCATTATCAGTATAAGAGGTGCAGTGTATGATCTTAGTATATAATAACAATAATATTATAACATACTGCAGCTCTTATACTGGCTGTTGATGTTATTGGTTTTTGTTAAATGCCTTCATTTTGGTCTAATTACAATTACAGGTGGAGTGACAAAGAGGAGAACACGTACGGAGTCTGGCAATAGCTGTAGTTCGAACGTGACTGAAGCGAGTGTTGCATCACAGGCCAGCTCTTCTGGGCCACCTGGACTTGTCAACCTGCAGGTTAGAGTAGTTCTCTCTTTCTCTTTATTTGCTTCCAGTACTGTTTAGCCTAATTAGATACATGTAAAATGACTTCACACAGTGGTCGAAATACTTTTTTTCTGTGCTCTGCAAAATTGCAGAAGAGTCAAAATTCTGTTCTGCAATTTGGAAATACTTTCTGCAAATACACAAGCCTCTATACTACAATCTTGCAAGTTTATAAGCATGAACTATTGATTGATATGCAAATTAGTGAAGACAAATCAAGACAAGGTTGATGTAAATTAGTGAAGAAGCTCCTGTTGTTTCAGAACAGGAGCTTAAGTGTTGTCTGTCCTTGGGGCCAAGAGCACCAAATCCCAAGTGCCAATTTTTCCTGCTGCAAAATTGCAGATTGTATAAATTTTTCTTCTGCAATCTTGAAACTCTATCTGCAGACTGCAGACAGGTATTTCGAACACTGTCACATGTACATGGACTATACGAAATGAAAAGACACAAATTACAAGTATGAGTGTTAAAAGAATAGCTTTGGAATCTCAGATTTCTTGTTTGCAATTTTTTTCTTCCCACCAGGAACCCATGTTGGCCCACTCATCACCTAAGAAGTCTCCAACGCCTTCAAAGACGAGCCCGGAACCCGGTAAAACCGTCGTCGGTCATAAATATTCCCTCCAGCCAGAAACCAGCCAGTCTGGCTCCTCTGGGCCACCAGGACTTGTCAACATGCAGGTGAGAGTGGTTCTTTTGACAAAATATTTATACATTAACACACAACAAAAGTTCAGCTATGCTGGGGAGCTTTCGAGACGTACTCTGTCTCTTCATCAACCCAATTCAGATCTCGTCTCGGAGTTCTCTTGTCACGTGACTTGATGGAATAATCACGTGACAAGAGTCATGTGAGAGTGGTTCTTGTCTGGTCAGCCTTATGATAACTTTCCTAATTTGTCATAGATGTAGGTCTCAGTGCTCATTTATTGTGTGTAGTTTCTGGTATTCAAGTTCTTGGAGAGTTCTTGTTCATGTGAATGTTTTTCTATTGTTCTTCTTCCAATTAGGAACCCATTTTGGCACATTCATCACCTAAGAAGTCTCCAACGGTTGCAAAGACGAGCACGGAACCATCTAAAGATTCCCTACAGCAAGGAATCAACCAATCAGGTTCAAGCAAAAACCAAAGCAACCAATCAGCCAGCACGGTGCAAGGAGCTGCAGGACAGCCTCCTCCAGGTTATCCGAATGTCGCTGGCCTCAGCCAATCAGGTTCAAGCAAAAACCAAAGCATCCAATCAGCCAGCGCGGTGCAAGGAGCTGTAGGACAGCCTCCTCCGCCAGGTTATCCGTATGTGGTTGGCCTTGGCCAATCAGCTGCCAGCTACTTTGCATCGCATCCAATGGGAGCTAAGCAACCTACTGCGTTGCCACCGGGATTTGGAGGGAGTTTGCCCTTCAATGTCCCCAAGCAGGTGTCGCTGGGAGCTGGTCTGCAGTTTATGCCAAATATTAACCAGTTCTCGTCAGCACATGCTGGTGTCTTCGAGTTTGCTGGTCACCATCACATGTCACCAAATGTAAGTATTCTTTACGTCGCTGAAGGTTGGACTAGGCAATGAGATACTCAAGAAAACACTTACTCAAGCAACTCGATAGATTTTTTCTTATCAGAGTTTTTTTGTTTCAAATTGTTGATACACACAATGGTTTGGAACATCATGAGCTTTCACTACTTATCAACTTAAATCTGGCTGCGCCGCATGCAAGCGAAGCTGGTGTGTTACGCCAAAAGGGGGTTATAGTGGCTATACAGATACAGAAATCCATACTTTTGCAAGTGCTGACAATATTTTAAGACTATATTCCACTGACTTTCAGTGAGTGTTGGATGTTATACCATGGTGAAAGTAAGTAATATTTGTCTAAAATATCTGTAACTGTATGTAACATTTAAGCAAAGACTATTCTTAAAATGGTGCAGTTCAGACATTGTTCTGCTATGCCGTTGCTAATTGCCAAATAAACACTGTATTATTTTTATCTTCAGGTGCATCCAGGTGCTTCTATCACACCTGAGCCACCTTCTTCAACACGACCAAGCAAAGAGCTGCTAAAAACACCTGCGAGTTTCTCCACGAAAACGACCTCAAACGTCGATCAGAAGACGGCTTCCTTCACCCAGGTCGTGCGACCCAAATCCACCATCTCTTCCGACAAGGCCCGGGCACTGGCGCAGCAGGCACTAACCCCGGACGCACTGGACACCCAGAACAAGTTCCAGGCCTTGGATACGGGAGCGGAGGACACCCCAGAAGTGGTTGAAGAAGACACACCAGGAGCTAAAGAAAATGGCGGCTCAGATGAAACGCTGGGAAGAGTGGCGAGTCCCATCGCACAACTGTCCAATGTGCAGGAGACCACCAAGCTGCCGGAGGTAGAGGGCAGCAACAACACTGAAGAAGAGTGGCAGTTACAGGTGAGGCAACACCTAGGGGACTCTCATAAGTGGAAATTACTGTGGCAGCTGTCTACATTACACCGATCGACTTGTTACACCTAACCCTTGAACTTCTAACTCTAGACATTGTTTAAAGCTATCTAATGACAAAGCCCTTACTGTACTTGGTGACAGCGAGTTCCACTCTGCAATTCTAGGAAAGAATGAATTCTAGAACACCTCAATCCTTGGTACTTGAAGGCATGGCTATTTCTTGTTCTCTTCTGGGTTGATATTAGGTACTTAGTAATTGGTTGTGTATAAGAATATCCTATGTTCTACCAACCTGATGAAATAATTCCTGGATGTTCCTTATCGCTCCCAGGTGAGTAAGAAGAAGAAGAAAGTCCTGTCAGCAGTGAAGGAGTCAGAAGCTCCACAGACCAGCGCTAAGGTGAAGCTCCTGGACAGACTACAGGCTGATCTCCCAGGGTACTCCAGGTCAGGGAACTACAGTCTTTTGTATCTTAGTCAAGTCAAGTCAAGTCAATCTTTATTGCACAACAATTGTAACGGGGTACCGTACAATGCATGGCAAACTCTTCAGTACTCCATATCTAGCCAGCATCTACTCTCACGTCTACAGTTACCGTATTACCTACAAGTTATATCTTATCAAGGAGCTTATGCTTATGAGATGATAAAGTATGTACTTGTATTACGTCTCCAAACCATGAGAGGTCCACTCAAAAACTTTGATACTGCCTTGCCAATTTGATACTGCCTTGCCAATTTGATACTGCCTTACCAATTTGATACTGTCTTGCCAATTTGATACTGCCTTACCAATTTGATACTGTCTTGCCAATTTGATACTGTCTTGCCAATTTGATACTGTCTTGCCAATTTGATACTGCCTTACCAATTTGATACTGCCTTGCCAATTTGATACTGCCTTACCAATTTGATACTGCCTTACCAATTTGATACTGTCTTGCCAATTTGATACTGTCTTGCCAATTTGATACTGTCTTGCCAATTTGATACTGTCTTGCCAATTTGATACTGTCTTGCCAATTTGATACTGTCTTGCCAATTTGATACTGTCTTGCCAATTTGATACTGTCTTGCCAATTTGGTATGACTTGCCAATTTAATATTGTCTTGCAGCCACCAAAAGATCTGCTTGGAGATTAGGTGTACAGAGCTTCATTCATGCATTCATTCCTTCCTTCTTACACCTGTAGGGAGCAGTTACTGGCAGCTGCTGCTGCGGTGCGCCGCGCCCAACACGGGACCCTCAGCAGCCTGCCCTTCTGTGTCATTCATTCATTCACTCATTCATTCCCTCGTTCCTTCCTTCCGTACCTGTAGGGAACAGCTACTAGCCGCTGCCGCCGCAGTGCGCCGTGCGAGACACGGGACCCTCAGCAGCCTGCCCTTCTGTGTCATCAGCTCCATGGTCCAGGCAGAACTGGTCAAAAGCCACGTCCCTAGCAACCAGACCCCGCCTGGCAACCAGACCCCACCCAGCAGCCAGGTCCAGGCCACGCCCAGCAACCAGGCCCAAGCCACGCCCGGCAACCAGGTCCAGACCCTGCCCGGAAACCAGATCCAGGCCACGCCTGGCAACCAGACCACGCCCGGCAACCAGGTCCAGGCCACGCCTGGCGACCAGGTCCAGGCCACGCCCAGCAACCAAGTCCAGGCCCCGCCCGGCGACCGGGCTACTGAAGCCACTCCACTCAGTATAGAGGCTCAGGACACAGCCTGCATCCAAGCTGTGAGAATAACTTTTCCTGTTTTTAACAACATCCAGGGTTCTCACCAGGTTTTCCCTTTGTTATAGCTTCATTCTAAAGTTACATTTTCATTTTTTGAAAGATTTATGAAGCTTCTACCCTCCAAAAAACACCCCTACACTGGTTGAAACACAGTGTAAGGGCTAAATCACAGTGTAGGGGGCCCCTACTCTCAAACAGCCTGGTGAGAACTATGAACATCTATGAGTCCCAAACTTGGTATTAATTTTATATTCTACCCAATATAACATACAGCATCCTTAGTGCCTGTGACTTTTTGACTTGTGATTGGCCTGGAGTCCGGAATTAAATTATTTTTCTGGGAGTTAAATCGCAGCTTGTTTATTTTCAGCCGACGGAAGGGAACCTGCAGCTTGCCCGTAGCCTGCTGCAGCTGAAGTACAAGACGGAAATGTGCGGAAACTTCTCCAGCAGCGGGACCTGTCCTTTTGGCGACAAGTGTCTGTACGCACACGGGCTACAGGAGCTGCGCCGCTCGCCCAAACTGACTCCCTGTCCAACCATGCAGCAGAAGGTGTGTGGAGTCAATTCATTCTTGCACCTTGCACAAACGTCATGCAATAAAGCTCTGTCTATATTCATATATTTCATGTTCTTTCTAAATAGAAGTAGATTAGCTGTTACTACTGTTAGATAATGTTACCAACTATGTAATATGTATATTTTGCCATACATTGTACCCTCTACAATTCTTCCCTCTCCTTCCACTGCCTTTTACACCCCCCCCCCAATGAGTCATGTACTCTA